ATTGCTTCTCTTGACTCTTTATATACTGAAACAGGTTGGAACCCACTCAGAGAAGAGAGGAATCAAAGCTTACTACATTCTAAAGAATACATAGTAGAAACGTACCTCTATAGAAAAGTTGATACTACCTAATAGATGGGACTTTTACATGGAGTTAAGAAATCCAGACCCATCGTCTATAAACTTGTTGAATAATTTAGACAATTCTACTAAACCGGCTGTATCTATTTAAACATTCAGAAACAAACTTTCCCGCATACATTCTTCAGTTGCTACCTATTTACATCCCAGTAATCGATACATCTCTGTTATACATTGCCGCATCAGACACCACTAAAGTGGCACGCGTTCAGATTTAGATAGGGTAGGTATTTGCCAATCCCGGAATTGTCCACGCGGTGATGGTATTGAAGACGCAATTCATTACTTCCCTACATGTTCATTGTTTTTTAATTGTAGACGTATATTGTTTGATACTTTGTATGATTTAGACGTAGATTTTAATATAGAAACGATCTTATTGGGCGACAGTGATGTTTACTGATATGAAACTGATTGTAATATTGTCAGATCTGTTTATAAAGTTTATAAAATAAACAAAGCGCTTTAACACTACCTGAACTGTTTGTAGTCGGCACTGAATCAATTTATCTCTTATTCTCTTGTGTTTATATATATATATGTGTGTATATCTGTCCATCTTCTTCTCCTTTTTACAACATTATTTAAACGTACAAATGTACGTGTGAAACACGTGTTTTCATTTTTATAGAATAAATATGTGTCACGTGCAATGTATGAATTATTTTTAATTTCTTAATGTAGAAGAGTTCATAAGTTGTTAGAACTTGTCTGATCTGTTTATCTGTTTCTGTTCATGAAACATGTTTAAATCAAATCACAAGACACACCAGACGTTAATGCACATTTAGATAACTTACATAAGAGCCCGATAATGAAGTAAACTGCATCGTACAGCTGTTTCTTCCTTCTAGGACTCGCCAGTGATCGGTTAAGGGCCTAAATGTTAAAACTAGGAGGCGACTGAGGAAAAGCTAACGTGATCGAGAGAAATGTCAAAATCTGTGGAAAAGTGCACGAGTCCCATAATTCAGTATATTTCTTATTATTCATATATCTCATTATTTTGTGTTGTGTATAAATTAACGCGTGTTATTTACATGTCGACATTCTCTTGTTTATGAATGCTTGAACAAAGGATTCACATGTAAACATGCGTAACTTGTTGAAGAGTTCCTTTTCCTGTGGTCACTAATCACTTCTGTTTGCTCAATGGCGTAATAAGACAGAATTAGTAGGAGATTTCTGACATGACCTGTTCTTAGCAAAATCACAGTGGAGGAAAGAAGATAAAGACACATGAAACATGACTACCCTGACACGACCCTTTAGATACATCAGGGAAAAGCTGTTCAAGATGGAAGACGAGACAGTTAGACCAGTTGTAAAGAGTACTTGTAGTGTATCATTAAATTAATTTACGATATATATGTGTGAATAGCACCTAAATTATTGATTAAAACTTATATTCAGAATTGACTCGATAGCAAGCACAAATACCTCAATCAGTAATATCTAGTGACATTCGGGGCTTAAAATCAAACATTACTCAAGTAAAAATTATCCATCATCCACTTGAATTATTGTTAAGCAAAGACACATATATGGATATTATCTATATATATTAAAGTACGTACGTTTCAGTGCTTACGTGTTGTTTCAGTGTTTTTACAATTAAAGACTTACATAATCTGTTATTTGTATATAACATATCTTATTTAAAATATATGAGAAAAGTTTACAGTAAAACCAGAAAACGTATCTAAATTAATCATTTATTGAATAATTATCTTATAAAGAAAATTAATGTATCATACGGTATTTAATCGTATTAGATACATTATAAATCTAGTTAAATGACTAAGATATCTCATTTAGCAAAATTAATGTATCATACGGTATTTAATGGAATCAGATACCTTATAAATCTAGTTAAATGACTAAGATATCTCATTTAGCAAAATTAATATCTTATGGAGAAAATGAAACACCTTAAGACTTTGTTTTATATAAAACGTCTGTTTTACCAAATAATATATATATCATAGTAAATTAGATATTTTATTTAAAGAAATAAGATATCATAATTAATAAATGATAAATCATATATAATTATTGGATGAGAATTGCTCCGTGAACAGTTTTGTCTGCCATTAGTAAACTATACATTAGTGTATCGACAGTTGCTGTCCTAAGGCAGTAGTAGTGGACTGTTATGTTGACATTTCGGCGCGATATCAAGGCTAATAACGGGACCTTAATGATAAAGTTAGGCGATGGAAAGCAGTAGGATGTATTTCTTAACCTTGTGCCCAATCCCTTTGTTGCAACGAAATAAACAGTTTACACTGTTAGAAAAGACTAGCAGGTGAATAGCGTCTTTCAATATAAATATTATGCAAACACACACAAGCGGATATTATCTTTCACTACAAATACTGTACAAAATACACACAAGTAGATAGTACGTTTTAACACAAAGATTTGACAAAAGACATACGGTGATTAGCAACTCTAAATACAAACATTGTACAAAAGACACATGGGTGAATAGAACCTTCCAATACAAACATTGTACAGAAGACACACGGGTAAATATAACCTTCCTATACAATGACTGTACAGAAGACACATTACGTTTATGAATCTTCAGTGATTAGAAGGTTCTATAGTATTGATAACTAGGAGGTTGGTTAAGAAAGTTGAAATAGATCAAATTGATGAAATATGGATTGAGATGTTCACTTAACTCTTAATCAAATCATAGTACATTGTACAATGTCATTTAGAAAGAACATCAAGTAAATGTGAATATTCTGATCTGTGTCACGATGGAAATCTGAAATATATATATATTCATTCAAATTCAAGCAAAATACTTCCTGCGTTAGACCTTACTATGAATAAACATATCTTCTATACCTCATATGTTCTATTCGGAAACAAGGTGTGTGTTGGCGGTATACTAGTATGGTGGCATGTTTAAAAGTCTTGTTACGGTAATGCGATCTACAATAATTGGATGGTAGAATACACTACCATAATCGTACAACATACTTTTGTCATAAGGTATCTGTACCTTCTCCATCTACATATCATACATATTGAAGAGTTTTTTATGATCTTTCACACGTTGAAAATTAATCAGGTAATTCCTAAAGAATACTGGTTAGGACAGTCATCAGTAATTAGGCGAAAAATTACGAAAGCTAGATAATGGTGTTATTTTTTAGCTAGCTAGATCGTACATGTATAGTGGACATCTAAACACATTATCTCAAATGAATAACACCTTCCTGGTTTTACGACCGAGAATCAAGGATACTGAGGAGCTTGAACTTCAACGTTTTAAGTTTCTCATAAGGTACGAGTATTACTTCAATCAAACCTTGAATTTAGGTATGTTGTAGCATCATGGTTCAAACATGATAACAATATATGTATAGTTTTTAAATATGATCAAAATCAACTTGGATCTTTGTTTTATTTTTTTTTTTTTTTAGAGGGTGCATTGATTTTGCTTAAACATTACCAGACAACTAAAGCATATGGATATGTGACGGATATTTTAGATGGCGTTAGATAAAAAAATGAAAATACGATACCATAAAGAAACAACAAAATACCATCTTTTTGATAGAAGTCTCCTGGCATTATTGTTTGAATTCGATCATGAGTACTTAAAGCTGTCATAAGTTTTGACCCGACTAATTTAAATGAAATCTTTGCCGATGCTGTGTAGTGATTAGTGATTACATAGCAAGAGTATATGTAAATAATGTTTATAAGTCGTTTTCGGGAAACTCCTGGAGTGACATGTCGTTGAAATTATTGATGATTCCCGATGTAACATCAGTATTTGTATCAGTAAATGTCGTTGATATTATATTGCAGAAAAAGTTTAAATTAGTTACAAATGCAATTGTCTCTATTTCCGTGCAAATCAGTCTTGCTATATAGACAACTACACAAATTGTTTTTGTTCACTTGCAGGTCAACCTTAGGTATTATTCGACTGACGGAGTTATTCTATTGTCAAACATATTATGATGCTATGTGTACTTTTTGAAATCAAAATACAAAACTCACGTCTGATTGATTGGTTGGTGGCTGTCGGTCAAGACAGTTACTGAATATGTACATCTGTCGAATTTTATTACTCAAGTGAGAAAAATATGAAAATAATAAGTATTGTTTTGGTGGAACTGTTGACGTTTATCGATGTACATATATCAGTTGATGTCACTGCTATTATCACTGACTTAAATATAAACTCTAGGTCCGTACTTCTAGATATTTTTATTTTTTTTATCTGATGTGACAAAACTCTGGAATCGCTTTCAAACTTACGCGTTTTTTTCATTGTTATCTTTGTTGTTATAACATTGAGGAAAGAGTTATGATTTATTATGCAAAGATAGTTAGTATAGAAGGATTTAGAATATAATCTATTCCAAGTACGTGATAGAAGTAAGACATTACTTGCTAGTCTAGATGTTGATTTTTCTTTTGATCACTCTGGATTTTCCTTAGCCTCCTAGGCTTCTAAAGTTAGGCCCTTGACATCACTGACGAGTCCTAGAAGGACAAAACAGCTGTATTAGGTAGTCAGTGTGTGACTCTCCTCACGCTAAACTATGAAAAGTTGCTGTTCGCTTGAGTGTTTTTTGTACAATATTTTATTTTGCCTGTCAAACTTGATAGCTGATTTTAATATATTTTACTACCTTTCTCGTATTTCAATAATCATTAATTATTTCCTGTGTACAGCTAATCACGTACTCAGATTTATGCATATTTTCCGGACAGTGAATTTGTATTTTGGTCGAATTTTACCATACAGGGAAGATAAACGCTTAATGTGATTGATGTTGAGCAGTATGATTTTCAAGCTTCTACTCGACTGAGAACATTGCAGAATGGCTGCGAAAAGGCCGGCAAAGGCAAAAGGTTTTTAAACGATTTTTAATCCTGTATTAATTTAATCCGAAACCAATGTTTCAATTTACTGTCATATACACTATAATCCAGCAATGCTTGTGTGAAAAGTATATATTTGTGGTTCAAACCTACTTATATTTGTTTGTTATGGTTCACACGACAAGGAGTCCGAGTCGACTCGGCCCAAGGAGTATCACTGAAATATAAGCTAGATTATTCCTTGACGTATAATAGTGCTATGCGTCCGTTGACTATTCAGTACATATTATTACTTTAACCTTGCGATAAACGTGGTATTTGTCCATAATTGCATCCAAACCTTTAATTTTAAATCACAATAACAACACAAAAATAAAACCACAAAAGTAAAACCGTTTTTTAAATGTCACTGCTCAGTCAGAAGAATGCATTAAACATGGAAAATCGCATACGATATATATAATAAATCACGTGTATCCATTTCAATATTTGAACGTTTTAAATCCTCTTCTCTGTATTAGTTAAATCAGATAATGTTTTCTGTTATTTGTTCCAAATTATCCAAGTTCTGACTGCATCTGTCTATATCTCTTTGTAAAACTACAGGAAAGGAATTCGAGCTAACTAGAATTTCTTTAACAGTGTTTATATACTTTTCTTCAAAAATATATGCATTTTTTTTGCACAAAATCAATCAATATAAAGCTGAACAATTTTCAAATTGGTTGTGCCACAAACTTGTTAAAGCTATATCTAAGTCCTTGAATGTGCTATTTTGACAAATTATTGCTTTTAACAAATGACATTTTTAAAACAAAATGCACATTTCTGCTTTTTACAGCAGAAAGATCACAGTATACTATATGAAACTCTCACTCCTTTCTAAATTAATGACATTTACAAGCTGATTAATTTTGTATTTGATTCATGTAATTTTATGATATCATTTAAATAGGCATATATTTGTATTTTTGTTACAAAAAATTGAAATACACTTTTCACTATATTCATTATATAACCATATCTACAAATAAGGTATACTTATTTGACATGGTTATAGAAGACTAAAGATCAGATTGCCGATTCCTGTTTGATATATCTTTGGAATATAATGTATATCAAAATTGTCTACCAAAATGACCTAAAGATTTTCTCCTTTTTTATTTTGCAGTGTTTTTTCTGTGTATTTGGGAAAAACTAACTATCAATTTACTTAATTGGGAAAATGGTTACATATGAATTGTATAACAGATTTACATGACATTAACTGTCTAATCCTTACCAAACTTGAAATGCAGTATAAATTCCAGCTTAACATGTGGTACACACCAATTCTGACATTTGACTTCCATTTTTTCATATCTACTTTATGTATTTTTTTTAAGTTTCACACAATCATCACAATTGGGAATTCAAAGTTCATTTAGGATAAAGAATACTTAAATACATTGGAAATGGGGTCATTTATGACATCCAGTTTTACAGACAAGAAAAACACTGTTGCATGATATATGGGACATCATGGTTTAATTTAAATCATTACATTAACAATGTACTAAATCATTTTGGACTATGACAGTGGTTTAAGTAGACATTTTCTTTTTCTTTTTTAGTGCACATTGCACCCCCAGGAGATTTTATTGCTCTTGGGAAGTCCAAATCATCCTCTGCCTCCGATTTAGATGTTTCTCGCGGTGTTCCTTCACAAGTGTCATCAAAAAAACTCCTGCCATCTTCATCAGAAAGGAAAAGAGAGGCACCTCCATCATCCATCTCTGGTATAGCCAAACGGCCAAAAATTATACAAGGACAAACATTTACACCCTTAGGACGGTCATCTGATGCAGACAGACGAAGTTCACCAGCTCCTAACACAAGTTCTCAGCTGGATGAAGTTGCAATTGACAGTAAGGTTATGATATTGAAGAATACTGAATAGACCATAATATTTCATTATCATATTGTTATATATGAACTTACTATAGCTTAAATTTCATTTTAAGAATTTAGATTTGTTTCAAAGTTGAGTAATGCTTGTTTGCGACCAAGTATATTTGGATGAAATAGCTTTTATTTTAAGTTTACTATAAAAACTTGTCACATATGGTATAAAGGAAAAAAGCATGTCTATAACTGTTGAAATGTTTAGTGGTTGAGAGTAGCTAAAGCAAATACTTATCTCTGTACATGCTGAATTGTATGGTATCGGTAAGTATTTATTATGTCAATTGTACATTTGAGATAGACTTTTTTTACCTACTTGTACATGATATTACATTTCTTCTAGTTGATCCACTCATGTTGATGGAAGAGGTGCTAGATGCAGAGGACACGTGTAATGATGAGAAACTAGAGGGGCTGTTTCTGGGAGCAATAAAAAATCTTAGAGCCAACCGCTCCAAACCAGACTCTGTAGTGTACCTAACTCTAATGTCATTGGCCAGAACCCATTCCAGCCTTTTCAACAGTGAGCTCATTATTCAGGTCAGTTTAAAGTAATGAAACAAGTGTTGTTTATCCTATTTATAATATCATTGCATGAAGTAATGCTTTTTTTGATAAAATTAACAGATGATGAATAATTGTTTGATGTTGAGTATATTATGATCAGTACTTGGAGTTGTGAAATATTTATGATTTATTATAGGCTTTCTGTAGTCTGCTGAAAAGAGAATTGTCACTAAACTTCAAAGCCAAAGGCAATGTACTTGTGTCTGTTTTTGCCTGCAATGTGCTGATGGCAGCATTCACAGAGGAGGAAAACTGGCCAGATGACTTTGTGAAGGTAAGTTTTGTATGTTTCAAATGTCTTGATTACATATATAAACTATTCATTTGTAGCTATTTCAATAATAAGTAAAGTATATCAACATATACAGAACATATATTTATACATATATATATTTATAGGGAAGTGTGTGCTATTATACATTATACTACGTGAATGAAATCCTTGTGTATAAAATATTAATGAATTGACTGATTGCATACTGACAATACTGGGACTTTGTTGTAGGTTTTTGTTGAAGATTCCTTGGGAGAGCGAGTGTGGGTAGATCGATCAGACTGTAAGAGTTTTGTTGACAATATTATCACAGCATTCAATACAAAGTTACCTTCCAAGTCACTTTCTCTGTCAGTAGATATGTCTGGCACTCAATCTGGCTCAGGTAAGCACAGCTACAAGCTCATAGAAGTAATACAAACATATCACATTGCTAACTAGAAACAAACTTCTGTCTGATATGATAATGCACTCATGGAAAACATCTGACATTTAATTTAGATAAAATTGTTAATATTGTAAAAATCATAAGACTTCCTGCTAGGTTTGTATTTTTGAATTGTTTATGGTTCTAATACTCAGTGTCTTGTCTACAGCAAGTCCAGTGGTGTCTTTTCTGGATGATGATGATGTGTCGAAAACATCAGATAGTTTAGAGGATAAACTCAGCAGTATTGGAGATGATGAGGTCAACGTTTTTCCTAGGTATGATTTGTTTGATTTAAAAAGACGGATGAAGTGAAATTGTTCAGTAGTATAAAATGTATTATGAAAGCAAATTAAATTTCCCTACTTTCAAGTAATTGGACACAAAGTTCCCCCTTTATTTCTTGTGATTTATTGTGGTTATCTATTATTGAGTTACATGTTATATTGACATATTACAGATACCCCTACCAACAGGATAGTATTGAGTCCTATGTGATGGATATTATTCGTGAGCAGTTGAGTCGTCGTCAGACAATGGACACATCATCCCGTAATGTTATTCGCTTGATGACTGCCACTTGTGGGTATAGTCAGGTGCGACTCCAGGCCTCACAACGGCTAGAGATGTGGCTGCAGAACCCTAAGGTACTTGCTGTATTCTGCATTAATTGCAGTTACAGGTATTAAGAAGGATATCTAAAAAAGAACAAAAAAAATGAATCTGTTATCAGAAACTCTTGTAATTTTTGCCTGATGACAAGAGACATGTAACTTTTTAACCTTTGATTCAACTTCTTAAGGAAATATTTTAACTGAAAAAAGTAAATATTTACAACTTTTTTTTGATGATGTGCATTTTTTGTCCTGTAGTTAACACGATCTGCCCAGGATCTGTTGATGTCCCTGTGTATGAACTGTAACCAGTATGACCAGAACGACATTGAGGTTCTCTCACAACTTGTCAAGATCAGGATGAAAACTAAACCACTTCTTAACCATTTCCTCACCTGTATCAGGTAGGTTGCTGTTTCCACATATTTATCAGACAAATAAGACATTGGATGTGTGATTTACATCACTAACTCTCTACACTCAAAGACAATTGCTATATCTTGTTTGCTGCTTATGTATGAATTCAATTTTTATGAGGTAGAAGTGAAGATTATTCAATTAGTGAGCTTTTCTTCTCCTATATGTTGCAACAAATACATGTAAAAGTCCTGATTTTAGATTCTTTTGTTTTCTATCACAGGACCTCTGTGAGATTGTTTCAGCTTCCCTTGTACAACCCACTTTATGAATTGATATCTGACCAACCTGATTTTTCTTATTCATCTCTTATAATATGGCTGTCATAATCTCACCTCTCTGACATTTAACTTCGGTTCTGTAGTAGATTTTGCAGTAATGAAGAGAAGGTCATTCGTGAGATAACTGGGTAAGAGATTAAGTTGTGGCTGTTTCAGGGAGTTGATCCCACAGCATCAAGAGAACCTACGGATGATGCTTACACACACCATCTACAATGAGCTGTCAAATGCCAGAAATCCCAACAATATGGCATTGATCAGTGTGATGTTCCAAACATCATCTGCACAAGCTACCAAGGTTTGTTTAGTGTTTGTTAGTCCTGTCTAGCTAAGGATATTCTGATGTTATTATGAATACTCTGAACTTTGTTATGTTAAATGAATTTTTAGAAACCTCAATGACTTTCTTCCTGTTTAGGTATTGGCAGAAATATTCCAGGATCTGTTATCCAACAAGGAGGATTACCTCCGTGCACTTCGGGCCTTATTCCGGGAAATAGCTCGCACACTGAAACAGGATCTCAAATTGTCATCATTTTGCTTGAACTTAATGCAGGAACGGACAGATTCCAAGTTCACAGAAATGGACAGTGCATTAAGGGTATTTCCTTTCATTGTTTTTGTTTTAAAGTTCTGTTATCAAAACTTTCCTTTTAACTATGCTACTACACTTCTCTTGTTATACCACAAGTTACAGTTGGTTTTGGGATGGGCATATCTTGTAACAATTTGATGTGCTTAGTATCTTTGATGTGTTTCTATAGCACTATGTTCACAGGATCTTTTGTGTGTAATGTGTTCTATCTTGATAAGGGAGAGTGTAGAGTCCTATACCAATATGTTTTAGGAACGTTACATTCTGTCTGTTGCGGACATGGTAGCTGTCACCATCCTAATAGGAATCACACCATCTGTACGAGAGGCCAAGGGAGATAAACAAGGTAAGGCTTGTTCAGTCTCATCAATAGGTTTGTTTATTATTCTTTTCTGAATTTCAAAATATTTCTTTCTCAAAATCAAAACACCAATATTTTGTCAATCAAATTGTGATGTAAGATAAATGCTTGCCCTGTTCATATTTTAGAAAAAATTTCAGCAATACTCTACAAAATACTAAATTTTTTGCAGTATGGCTGTCTTTCAATATTCATTAGTAATATTAACTCACTGTTTTATTGTTGGTATGTCAAAATCTCAGTCTTCATAAAAACCCTATTGGAAATATACCTCATTAAGTGATATAAATTTCAGATTCAGAAGTTCTTCACAAATATCGCCAGCAGACAGCAATGATACAACGAGATGCTGTATGGTGGATGCATACTATTGTATCAAAATACGTTGTGGAGCTCAAACCTGAACAGTACATTCACTGGTTTGTATCCCGATTTACCTCAGAAATAGTTATGTTTTTGGATATGTTTTCAAAGCATTTGTGTTTACATTTAAAATGTCTCAGAGCCAAATTAATTTAATGACCAAATCTTTACTTGTCTTGTTTTCTTGTTGAATAAGAAAATTGTACCTGAAATTTATTCTGTTAGAACTTATTTTCATATTTGTGTTTTCAAAGTATTCACCTTGTGTTTGTAGTCTACACAAAGTGCTGTTCTTGGAAAGTCCTGAGCATTACTACAGCAAAGATAACTGGCCATCAGAAGGAGAGAGAGGGTTTGTACATAAGTCCTTGTTTGTATTTATTCTAAATTCTAAAAACTTTGAAATACATCTTTGAATAGAGCTATAAAAGTATACAGAATTTCTGGTTGTGTTATATCATGATAGTGTGTCTATATTACTCTATTGCTCTACCACAGGTCTCTACTGAGGATTGCATCAGAATCACCCGTCCTTGAGGACACCCTCATGAGAATTCTGGTTATAGGTCTGTCCCCAGATATTCCCATCAATCCCCCAGATGCTGTGGAACTGGTGGACCAGCTAGTGAAACGAGCAGCTAGCCTCAGCTGTGATGGTAATTACATATCTATTTAGGTATATCAACTGTTATAGAATTAATAATAGCTATGCTAAAATAGTAAGTAGGTATAGCTGAGTTTAAAGATTAAACAAAAAGACAGAATAGTATCTTTCAATACAAATTTAGAATTGAATACAGTAGAAACATATAATGAATGAAACTGCATCATACAGCTGTTTCCTCCTTCTAAGACTTGTCAGTGATACTAAGGGCCTGAATTTTGAAACCTAGGATAAAACTGAGGAAAATAAAAATTGGTTGAAAGAAATGTTAAAACCTAGATGAGGAGGACCACAAGCTCCATAATTTTAAAAAATTGGTAATTTCAAATGAACATCAAGTACATGTCATTCTTGACTGTGCCACTATTTGAATGAAATGAAACATGACATGCAGGTTACAACAAATTTCAGAAACTAAGAGCATTCCGGCAATGTCTCATACCTGCAATCTCAAAGATTATACAAAAGACACACATGTGAAAAGCACCTTTCAACTACTACTCTCTATTATTGTAAAAACACATAAAATCAAAGAGGGTTAATAGGTACTGTCAATTCTTCTGATGCAATCTGTTGTCTGTACATGGATCTTGTAATGGTCACAGTGCTTTGATAAATCCAAGTGATAGCTAACAGAACTTATTTGAAATGCTAATTTGAGGTCAATCTGTAAGGGTCACAATTGATATGAAAACTTTCACATATATGATAAGGCAAAATCTATTGTCTTATGTACCACAGGTGAAAAGGTGCTACAGATGGAAAGACTAGAGTTAGTGGATGCTCTACTCAATTTGTGTTCATATAGACATCCTACAGACATATCTCTACCTAAAGGGTGAGTATACACATCATCCAAAAGGATGACTATAGATGTCCATACAGGCATATATCTGCAACAAAAGGGTGAGTACAGACAAATGTCTACCTCCAAGGTGAGTACAGACATCCTAAAGACAAATCTCTACCTACAAGGGGAGTACAGACGTCCTAAAGACAAATCTCTACCTCCAAGGTGAGTACAGACGTCCTAAAGACAAATCTCTACCTATAAGGTGAGTACAGACATCCTAAAGACAAATCTCTACCTACAAGGTGAGTACAGACGTCCTAAGGAAAAATCTCTACAAACAAGGCTAGTACAGACTTTCTATAGACATAAATGTACCTAAATGATGAGTACAAACATTCTGCAAGAAAATCTCTACCTAGAGGGTAATTACAGACATCCTACTGGCATATCAGAACCTGAAAGGTGAGTACAGACATCCTACTGGCATATCAGAACCTGAAAGGTGAGTACAGACATCCTACTGGCATATCAGAACCTGAAAGGTGAGTACAGACATCCTACTGGCATATCAGAACCTGAAAGGTGAGTACAGACATCCTACTGGCATATCAGAACCTGAAAGGTGAGTACAGACATTCTACAGACATACCTCTACTGAAAGATCAAGTACAGACATTTCTCTGTCTAAAGAGTGAGTACAGTCTTTCTACAGACCAATCTCTATCTAAAGGATAAACACATACATTATATTGATGTATCTCTTACTGATTTAGCTCTGCTTAAACACTTTAGTTAAGACAGCCTCTGTAGGAAGAGGATAGATATAAATATTCTAAGGAGAATCTCTTTCTTAATGATACATTCAGTTATACCTCTGCAGAAAACAATATCACATAAACTAGGCCCTGGTTTATCTATGTCCCATTGTTTCTGTTACTTTTCCACTTTACCTTTGGTATACTGGTGTATTTTCTGAAGGTCACGTTAATGACCAAGATGATGTCTGATGCTTTGGTATATATGAATATTGCCATTACATCATTTTATATACTAAAATTATGTCTTTAAATGATGTGTTCATTGTCAGTCAAATATATTCACCAAACTTTTTGTACTTGCCTGTTTTTGGAGCCCAAGGGTTATCAACTGAAATTTTGTCCCTTTCTTACACATTGTTTTGACTTTGTGTACAAAAAATTTGAGTTTGGAAATTTTTTTTGTTACTTGGTTATAACAAACATCTCTTTGTTTATCTGTCTGTTAGATTCAGTCTGTCTGCTGTTTCATTTCTATTTCTTCAATCATTAAACACTATACAACAAGTAAATGGATACTACCTGTACCTGGATTAACCCCTATGATACCGTTGTTTGATGTTATACAGATACAGTCCCCCTACATTGGCTATCTCCAACCTCTACTGGAAATCCTGGAATATACTCCTCATCTTGTCTGCTTTTAATCCTCATACATTTGGTAAGTTGATTGAATTTGTTTGAATTTACTGCTGATATTCATTGTGTATCCTAAAAATTAATAGTACACCATGGAAATTTTACCCTGTCAAATATTGCCTATAGCCCATGAAACACGTATATTTGCTCTTTGTTGATTTATCCTTTGACTTGCACTTCAGAATGTGATATGCTTTATATCAATATTTGCTATCAAAATAATATGCTTGTCATATTATGAAAATCCTTTTAAGATTTGATGATTTTTTTTTTAAGTCAATGAAATCAGCATTACAAAAAAAACCCTACTAAGCCTTGATAAATCTTCGAAATTGAGCCTATTTTGGCTGCTATAGGGTGATCACTATATTGTGTTTGATAGATTTGTCTTACTTATTGTTATCTTTTATTTCTAAGCATGATTTTATAGTATTAGTGTTGATAAATTGTTATACTCACAACATACACAATAGAAAACAATATTAACATTATGATTGAGTGCTAAATTTTCCCAATAAAGTGAAGGCACTGACAGTAGATCGGATGATTACTTTTGCTTCAGGTATCACGGCCTGGGAGAATTACCCTACACTCAAGTGTCTAATGGAGATGGTAATGACAAGGTACTGTACTCGACAAGTAACCATATTGAAATTTGTTTTATACTGTGGATAAAATTTTGTATTCAGACTAGTGTTGGGGTCATACTTACCATTAAGAATGTCTCACTCTTAAACCCTAAAAATAGTTCTTTATCATTATCCATATGGTATATCAACATTTAAAAAAAATTTTGCCATGTTTTTACAGAAATTACAAGTTCCCACCTCCTACTACAGCTTCAGATGAACGTGAAATTGAGGATATCAAGAATCAGGAAAAACAGGTAAGAGATAGTGAAAACTGTCAATGTGACATATGATGCTTAGATATTTCATCTTGTTTTCAAATACAGACAGTATAAATGTTTACAAAGAGATCAGTATTGATGAAAACAATGGAGAGATTGTTTACATGAGTTGAATTTTTTTATGTCAAGTTTACATTTTTCTAGGTGTCTGAACAAGAGAAACAAGAAATCCTTGAGTTTGAGAGCCACCTAGCTGCTGCTACTAGTAAAGTTACTATCACAGAGACCAACAGTTTACTGGTCACTCAACTGACTGCCATGAAACCCAGGTATTCGGTCTGGTGACCCTTCAGGGCTTTTTTAGGAAGTTCTGTTGGGCTGAATATGAGATCCATTCCCAATCAGATTTATTTCTGTTGATGAATTTTCTTCCCAAAATGTTGTAAAAATTAAATGATTAGGAAAAAATCCAGGCCCTTATGATATGAGATTTTAACACCCACTTATAGACACATGTTTATGGAACAAAGTTGAACACCGAGAAAAGAAATTAAGAATCTTGATGTAATTTGTTTTCTTTGTTGTTTTAATCATTTAAACTTATTTCCTCACCTACCCTCAGAACAAAACTTTAATAAAGGAAGAAAAAATGCTTACGAATCAATAATCAAGTACATGTATAGCTTTGACCTTGCTAATTTATTGTTTAGGATTTCACTCTTGTCATCCTGTGTAAAAACTTGTCTGTGTTTGTCAGCTTTGACCACAGATCTGCTATAACAGTGATTGATATGTTTTTAGTGGAGTGGCACGCCAGCCACCAGCAGCCATGTTAGAGCAAGTCAGGATCCTTAATGAAAGTATTCACATCGGACAGATGTTGTGTCGGAGTCGCAAACCAGACTTTCTGTTGGATATTATTCAGAGACAGGTGAGCACCAGATATTGATTGTCTGTCAAATTAGCTCCAAAAGATCAAGGTATGAAAAGTGAATCCTTGTCTACACATTGTGTACTATATCTGATTATAATTTTATAGTGCCTGTAGCTGTGATATTGTTTTGTAGGGTGCTTCCCAGTCTATGCCGTGGCTAGCAGAATTAGTGGAAGCCAGTGAGGGATCACTTGAGGTCCTGCCAGTCCAATGTCTGTGTGAATTTCTCCTTCACGATGTAACTGGTATCCCTACTTCTCAAGAAGAGGACAGTAAACAACTGGAGAAACACAGGAAGAAACAGGTGAAACCATCTTTTGAACTGATCGTGTAAAATTTTACTTTCACAATGATCAAATCTTACCATAGTACATCTAACATCTTTGTTTTTCTTTGAAGGTGGTTTTAACCCTTCTATCCTCATTATTAACAAAGAGTAATATTTACTAATTCAACCACACCGTTCTTAAAGAATGATATCCACCTGTTTAACTTCACCTTTCCTAGGAGGTGATATTTACTCATCCAACCTCACCGTTTCTTAATGTAGATAATTGACATAATTAATAGCCATTATTATATGCTGTAATATATTATATGTAGTCTGAAATGTGCCCACACCAAGTCTACTAATGATGAATTACTTTTAAATTCTGTTGTAGAGACGAAAATAATTTGAATAAATAATTCATGTTATTCTAAACATTACACTTCCCACAATTTTATTATCAGGTCCCACAACATGTTGTATAATATTTACATGGTAAAGTGTTATCATTCCTATACAGAAAGTGAAGAAACGTGCAGAGCTTGTTAGTTACCTCCGCTCCATTGTTCATGCTGACCCACCCGATTTAACTGCTGTGACCCAAGTCCTGGACTACTTCCTCAGACGACTGTCATCCACACAGGCCTCCAACCGGCACCTGGCTATACAGGTAGGTTTTACTGACACCTGGTTACACAAGTGTTACACTGCATGTTTGTCTTACATGAAAAGGCTAAATACAAATAGGTAGGTTTATTTTGTATGCTCTGCAAAAGCTTGCCTCACAAACAAATATAGACATATATGAAACACTTCATTTTGCTTGTAGATGATCTGTAATATTATTTGTAATGGTGTTTTATTGTTCTGTATAAAGATGAGGCAGTTGAAGTTTTATGTTTGTTCAGGGACTGTCTATGTTGATATCAGTAAAGGACACTTCTGAGGATGAAGCTATGGAGACAGAGAGTGGGTGGGGCCACAGCTGGCTTCTGGAACACCTACCCACACTGGCAATATTCCCCCAGATCAAACCACAGATCTGCGCCGCTCTCAGACAGGTATAAATTGTTGACACAATGAACACATAGTCCTGTCATATAGGAGAAACTTAAAGATCAAATTATTGTAATAATTTTTTTTATTTTGATATGAAGAATTGTAATCTTGTGATGCCAATCTGTAAACATTTTCTTTTAGAGAATATGTACTTTTAAGATAAGGAGTTTCTATATTGTCTGCAGGCCTGCCAGATAGAGACAGAGCCAGGCCTCATCAGTGCCTGTATCATCTACCTGTCTCAGCAAGCCATGGACCAGAGTCTACATGAACTGGACGACCTTGCTTTGGTATGTAGCTTCACAGAATCCCTATAACAACAAAGTGATAATAATCAAGCTTCATTTCAGTTACATTATTTACACAATGCATCATATTCCCAGCTGTTCATATGTTGGATGTGGAAAGTAAATATTAAGACTACCAAAATACATATTTTGCCTATGTTCTTGTTTAATATAGTATATCATAGCACCAACTATCAGCTTTGGCACAGTATGCATGTACAGTGACTTTAAGGTAACTAATTGTATTTTCTGTTGGGTTTTTATGATTTGATTTTGTAAGAAGATGTAATGTGTTAGTGATGTGAAGCATAGGGGGCAAACTGGCTATCAATACATCACACTTTTGGGAATCTCATTGAAGCTCATTCTCCTGATTACTGCATTGTAACAGGAGCCTGCTAGAGATTCTGTATAACTTGATTTCTTGTGTTGAGTGTCTCTTTGGAAGGGTCTAGTAAGATTTTGGTTCCTATGCTTTGTCTAGAAAATATCTTTTATTAAATGACTGTAGAATATTTCTTTGGAGGGAAACCATTTGTACTTGTAGGACATGGCACAGCTGATAGTGGAGCGTACCACAGTCATCAACCACATACTACCAGTGGAGAACCAGCCTTGCAGTGAGTTGTCTCATGTGACACTGAAGGCACTCATAGACCTGTATACCAATTATCTACGCAAGGCCAAGGAGCCAGACAAGGAAGCTTATTCATGGGTAAGACCAGCATTTATATGGATCAAGGTCTTTTTATATTTTGTATTTCACAGTCATTGGTTTTTAGACTAATAATGTCTGCAATATATACCGAGATGACCAACAAAAAAGCTTAGATATTGGTACAAACAAGTCAAGATTTCCTCGAAAGGTCAAGTAGCATTGTACCGAGGCTCACATCTCAATGATATTAAAAGTCAATTGATCTATGTCATAATCATATATGTTTAAACTTTCCTTTCTCCTTAGAAACAATTTATAATTGGAGACATTAATATGGCATTGTAGAATTAAACAATGAAATGTTACATCCTCACTTGTTTGTTTCAGTCTAACATTCAGGACCAGATTATTCTACAATGGAAGGGAGGTGACTCTGCTACGATGCACGTCCTTGTGGTTCATGCAATGATAATACTGCTGACGTACGGGTCACCCAAGGGTGGTGAGTACAGATCATACTTGGTGTAATGGAGAATAGATTATTGGCTTTACAGAAAATATCCTGAATCATCAGTAAATGTTAAAGCTATATAGCTACAATGTCTGTTTTGAATCATTTAATCGTTGTAAATAATTGTCAGGTCGATCCAAGCTTTACAATGTAGAAAAAAAATGATATAATATGAATCAAAGATAACCTTAAATTTGTGTTTTTTCCTATTAACATGAAAATATGAGGTATTTAATTGCATGACATAAAGATTGTTATTAAGATATCAATATTGTTGAGCATGAATGTTCTCTAACGCCCCTACAGTCAAGTTTACTTATTAACAGGAGAAAAGGAGTACCAGGATTTACTAGATACCTGGTTCCCTGCAGAAGGACAACCACCCTCAGCATTCCTTCTAGACACCTCAGAGGAAGCTCTACTACTGCCAGACTGGCTGAAACTACGTATGATTAGATCCCATGTGACCAGATTGGTAGACACAGGTAATGTTTGGAAGGTACAGGGAAAGTTAGATACAAGTAGTGTTGGTAAATACAGGTAAATTTAGATAGATACAGATGAGATTTGGTAGTCACAATGTTTGGTAGATACAGGTAATATAAAGTAGATAGATGTATGGTTTGGTAGATACGGTAAGGTTTGGTAGATACAGGGAAGATTTGGTAGATATGAGTGAGGTTGGTAGATACAGCTAAGGTTTGGTAGATACAAATTCATATTATCTTTGTAGAGTGGAATATGTTTAGGTACCTGTATATTAATGGATTGAGTATAAGAAATAAACATGGACAGAAGGAGTTGTTAATGATATTTCAATCACTGGAATTTTGACTTTTTTTTATAATTTAAAAACAAATTCAAAGATTTTTTATTTAATATATATATTCAAAACAAAAATTACCCATGCCTTTATTCACACTTTCCTATATAACAGCACATACCCCTATACACACCATTTCACACACACACCATCACACACTCACTTCTGCATAATCTATACCACCCGTTTATTTATAAGCATATCTTGCATTACCCAAATTTAGACATTTAAACAAAAAATAAACAAAAAAAAGGAAAATTGACTTACTATGTTGTTGTTTGTTCTACAATTATCATTTGTGTTCTGACCCTCCCTATCCTGTCTTGTACAGCCCTTCAAGATATTGAGGCAAACCAGCTGCTGCTGTTTGTCCAGTCCTTTGGAATCCCAGTGGCCAGCATGGGTCGCCTCCTCCACTGTCTTGACGGCTTGGCCATGGATCCCAGCATACTGGAGCAGGCAGTAGAGGACAAGGCTTACATGGCCCAACTCATAGATATCCAGCATATGAGAGGTGCCCAGGGAGGAAACATGTTCCGCAAACTGCTTACAACCCAAGCTCCTGTTAAAGGTGAAACTTATCTGCATGTATTTAATGTCTCTGTAATTATTATTGCAGATCATGCTGTCAACATTCAGAAATACATTTAAACACTACGGCAGACAGTCACTTGACAATATGTCAGACCTTATATGGAAACATTTACACACTTACACAATCAGTCTTTTTAAGTCAGTGTTAAATGTTGATATTTAATTTATTTGACAGAAGTTGAGGATGCTGAAATGAAGCCTGCAGAATCTACAGAGGACAGCTTATGGAAACCTAGAGCTGCACAACAGACACAAATGTTCCAGAAGACAGAGATCACGAATGTGATTGTACAGGTATTTGTCAACACTGCAGTAAGACATTGACATCAGAGGTTGGGACAGCTGTATGTAGAGAGAGGGTTTTAAACGTTTTTACAAGGACTTTGTAATATGATAAATTGGCACCTGTCTTGATTGTAAATGTTGGACAACGATTATCTTATGGTCTGGTAATGATATAGATACTTTGTCAGGAATGAGGAAGAAAATATTTGATTTTGAAATTTACTGTGAGGTATCTGCCCAGTAAATCTATGAACATCAATGTATGAATAATATATTTTGTATTTTGTGTTGTAGGTGTTTTCTGCAGATGGTAAGAGAGACCAAGAAACAGACCAACAGTTTCACAAACTTGTCACGGTAAGTTCCAAGGGTACATCTTGGCATTTCCAAGGGTTCATTCAAAGCACATGGGTGTGACCATATGTTCACAAGAAATGTCTGCATTTCTGTAGAGTAGTCATAAAAGTCAGTGTTCAGTCAACATATAGTTGACAGGAGGATGTTTTTATGATCGGCTGCCAGAAATAATATGAAACTATGAACATGTCACATAAGTATAGAAAACAGCAGGTAAACTGTTCTTCATAAATATATTGTTATACTTCCCTTAACTTTGTCCAGCTATACATTTGCTCAATTTTCAACAGATCATTTTGAAAGTTTGTGGGAATGGCTGGTACAATATAGAGATGTGCCCCTTGAAGTGACTTTGCATCCCCCCACCTTTTCAGAGAGTTATTCCCCTTTTATATATTATGAATATACTAAACAGGTTTTTATTATTCTGTGATGGAGATATTCTGTCATACTTAACGCAGCGACATGTGAATGGTACAGACACATCACAGTATTTTCATTGTGATGATAACAATATCATCATTTTTATTAGGATACAGGCATTATATTTCAAGTACTTTGCTTGTTTGCTAATAAAAATTTCCTTATAGGGTATAACTTCAAGAAAACCAGAAATATCACAACTTGTCATGGAAGTCCTGTATGAGGTAAGGTATTATTTTATTTTTATTTGTCAACAAAAATATTCATTCACATAGAATTAGATAATTTCTTATTAAACTTTTAAATGAAGTGAGACAGGAAGTCTACTGGTATTTTGTTTAATAACAATTTGAAATAAATATCTGAAATAGATGATATCATTGTGTACTCTACTTGCCTCACTTATTAATGTTGTCCTTGATTTTGTAGAATGTGAGAAACAACATATTCCGAGACAAGTTTTGTAGCCATGTGAAGGCGTGTCCATTGCTGAAATCTTTGGTGGCCAGTAAGGTAAAAATAAAAACCATGATCTGTTAATTAATGTGACCAAAGTTTCTAGTTATTTAGTCAGTGTTCTGGGACCTTCCTAGTTATTTGGTGAGTGTTCTGGGACCTTCCTAGTTATTTGGTCAGTGTTCTGGGACCTTCCTAGTTATTTGGTCAGTGTTCTGGGACCTTCCTAGTTATTTGGTCAGTGTTCTGGGCCCTTCCTTGTTATTTGGTCAGTGTTCTGGGCCAATCCTAGTTATTTGGTCAGTGTTCTGGGCCCATCCTAGCTATTTGGTCAGTGTTCTGGGCCTGTCCTAGCTATTTGGTCAGTGTTCTGGCCCGTCCTAGCTATTTGGTCAGTGTTCTGGCCTGTCCTAGCTATTTGGTCAGTGTTCTGGGCCCATCCTAGCTATTTGGTCAGTGTTCTGGCCTGTCCTAGCTATTTGGTTAGTGTTCTGGGCCTGTCCTAGCTATTTGGTCAGTGTTCTGGGCCTGTCCTAGCTATTTGGTCAGTGTTCTGGGCCTGTCTTAGCTATTTGGTCAGTGTTCTGGGCCTGTCCTAGCTATTTGGTCAGTGTTCTGGGCCTGTCTTAGCTATTTGGTCAGTGTTCTGGGCCTGTCCTAGCTATTTGGTCAGTGTTCTGGGCCTGTCCTAGCTATTTGGTCAGTGTTCTGGGCCTGTCCTAGCTATTTGGTCAGTGTTCTGGGCCTGTCCTAGCTATTTGGTCAGTGTTCTGGGCCTGTCCTAGCTATTTGGTCAGTTTTCTGGGCCTGTCCTAGCTATTTATTCTAGTTAAGGTTTTGTGATCACCAGTTCATTCCATGAATAGTCTTGAATATTGCTGAGTCATGCAATGTTTAGAGCACGATAAACTTACCTGTGTGATTAGAAACATTGATTTGAAAAGATTATATCTTAAACACTACACCATTATCGTTTCATGTGGTGTTATAATCATATCTCTTCAATTTCATATAGGAAGAAAATGTAATGCAATGTTGATTTTATATTGTGAAATTGTTTGAATTTGTGTATCGGGTTATCTCAGTACCCTGATTACAGTAACCTGACTGTCATGCTTTTATGAGATTACTTTAGGGTTTACTGATGAAGATTTATAGACACTTTATATGGTATTGCAGTGTGGAAGTCGAGACTCCCTCCAACAGCTGATGATGGTTCTTAGTGCTGCAGATCAGACCATCTCATCACCTGCTATGTCTGTGGTAAAACACTTCCTTCTCCACTCCAATCCTGTGGCAAAATCTACACCTTCTCTGAACCTCAATGGTAATATCACACCCTGTGTCAATAATAGATGACATCATGTCTGTCTAATTGTCTCAGTGTCAGAAGTACAGTAAAGTCAGTGAATTTTAACTTGTAATTGTAACTTGGACATCGGGATTATTTTTGTCTTTGAGGAGATTAATATGTTAGTAACATGCTTTCGATAAATTCTGACTTGTACCCTGATCTGTAGGATTATTTTGGCCTGTGAGGGATTTGGAATGTAATTCAGAGTCACTTATTAACACTTAATTCTGACTTGATTAACCAGTTTGAACCCAAATATAATATTGGCTGTGAGATTATTTTGGTCTGGAAGGGGTTTTAAATATAAGCAACTTCTTATCAGCAAATTCTAACTTGATTGACTGGTTCAGACCTGAATATAATCTGGGCTGTGGGATTATTTTGGTCTGTGAAGGATTTTAAATTCTAACTTGATTGACTGGTTCAGACCTGAATATAATCTGGGCTGTGGGATTATTTTGGTCTGTGAAGGATTTTAAATTCTAACTTGATTGACTGGTTCAGACCTGAATATAATCTGGGCTGTGGGATTATTTTGGTCTGTGAAGGATTTTAAATTCTAACTTGACTGACTGGTTCAGACCTGAATATAATCTGGGCTGTAGGATTAACCTATGAGGAGGTTTGATATTATGTAAACAGAATATGATGGTTGTGTTACTCAGATTTAGTAAAGAAGAGGTCAAAGCTTGATGAAGGTCATCTTGAGTCACGCTTGACAACCTGTATGAGGTCAGCAATGACCAACCAGAAGTCCAGTGAGGTGGTCAGCAGTGTGTGCCAGACAATGATACAGACAGAATCTGAAGACAGGTAGCTGTATATTATTTCTCTAACTTTATATTTACTTGTTGGCTCCTTTGATAAAGAATGCACAAGTTTAATAATTTGCTTTGTCCGCATATTCTTGCCATTAATTGCTGTCTACAAATACCGCAATGTTTTGACATTTTGATTTGTTAGTTGGATACATAATTAGAGTGTAGATTAGTAAATATTAATTTCACTTGTCTGTACCTTATGTCTATAAATCACACACTTTTCTTGTTTGTTTCAATTTCATATATACAAATATCCATGCATTGATTAACCTTAGCCATAAAACATCTGGAATTGAAGGAGCTTTTTACTCTAGTTATGTGTAGGTTAAGCTATAAACGCCTCTTCCTCCAGGTCAGAAGCAGAGACCTCCATGCATACCCTTCTGTTAGACTGGTTAGAGCTCCTGGACCCAGAATTAGTGGCCCTGGCACCTGACCTTCAACACAAGCTCATGTTCTCTCCACACAAAAGCCAGAAAAGGGACAAAGCCTGTATGGAAAATACCACAAATGAAAGTCCTGCATCAGGAAATCAGTCTGGTCGTACCTATAGTAATCAGGCTTATCTCCTGGCCCTCCTCACACACCAGAGCAGCTGGTCTGCTCTACACCGCTCCATCAACACACTACTACAGAAGTCTCCCTCCAACAGGTAAAATGGCTCTAGATTTGCCCACAGGTACATTGAGGCAACCTTAGTTCAACAGTTAAAATGGGGCTACCTTGGATTTAAGTTGACTGTTTTTAAAAACTGTTAACAAATGTCTGATTCAGGTTTTGATATTGTGTAATGATAAAATTGTTTTTGATACAAGATCCATGTTAATGACTTTTAATCACCAAGGTGCAAAATTGGCTGTTGAGGGTGATTTGTTATTAAAACAATCACCAGTTATATGGCAAAAAAACACATTGTCTGACACATTTGCTAACAAAGACCATTGTTGGGTTAATGTTGTTTCATAAAAAGTATCACTTGTGGAAGAATTTCAGAATTCAGTACTTTAAAACATATCTTTGTTTATATTTTTCCATCAAATCTTTAGGTAGTTAAAATATTTTTATTTTGTTTTCCAGTTTTTGTCCAACCACCGTGTTAGACTTTCTATGGGCATGTTTGCAGATACCTAAAATATGGCAAGGTAGAGAACAGAAGATATCTAAGGTAAAGATGTGGTGGGATTTTACATATCAGGGTTTGATTGTCTTTAACAACAGACATATATATATCATACTAGCTGTAACAGCTCGGTAAATAAGGTAAAGATGTGTTAGGATTTTACATACCAGGGTTTGATTGTCTTTTAACAACAGACATATATATATCATACTAGCTGTAACAGCTCGGTAAATATGGTAAAGGTGTGTTAGGATTTTACATACCAGGGTCTGATTGTCTTTAACAATAGACATATATATATTATACTAGCTGTAATAGCTCGGTAAATAAGGTATGTGTTAGGATTTTACATACCAGGGTTTGATTGTCTTTAACAATAGACATATACATTATAGCTGTAACATCTCTGTAAATAAGGTAAAGATGTGTTAGGATTTTGCATACCAGGGTTTGATTGTCTTTAACAACAGACATATATCATACTAGCTGTAACAGCTCGGTAAATAAGGAACATTTCACTTCACAAACTTCGTATTTGTAAAGTATTTGAATGACTATCATTACAAAAAAAATTGTTATATTATCTGTAATTTAATGACATTTAATGTAAGGGATAGACAATACCTTTAAACTAGTAATTGATATGTTGTTTATGTTGAATTTCCAGGCCACAGATTGCTAATTATGTATGTCTATGTTAGTATATCAATTATTGCAAGCAAACTCCATGCTATTCTGGATAGAGGGTCTTCCTTGCATAATGGACCTGAAATTTTCAGTGTTGTCTTTATTTTTGACTCCAGATTCTAGCTAGTGTTTCAAAATCATACTCTGTTAATAGATCGCCCTCTGAAATTTTAGAAATTTCAGGGACAATGTTGCCTGTAATTTGTGAGTAAATTACTCCACAGATTTTGATAAAAAGATATATATCAGATATATATAAATATTAACAGAAACAGCCAGTAGAGAATGTACTGAGTCTGAGTCAAAGCCAGTTGGAAACAATCCTCAACTATACAGTGGAGGAGGCAGTAACCAATGAGTCACACAAGGACCACAAGGGCGTACCACTCTCCAGCAGGGTAGAGCTAATAGTCACTTGTACAAACAATGAGGAGAGTAACATCAAGTTTGTGGCAAAGCAAGCTCAGGATGCACTGGCTGAAAACAGGTAGGAATGCCTGAAGTGGTTAAGATAGAATAGTTTGTAGATTTCTTATTTAATCAAAATATTTTTGTTGGTGGAGTATAAAATTACAGTATTACCGATGGTGTGAATAGATTTTCGTAATGTTTTTATTACTGATGGTGATTTTGTAGAAACAAGAGTATATATCAGAAAGTGTTGGTGGAGTTATATGCTCAGTGTCCTCGCCTTCTATCCTGGTCTCCTGATATTTCGACTTCTCTTTCTGACAAGTGTCTCTCACAGGAAACCGCCATCCAGGTAAGCTGACCAAATAGTGTTCATCAGATCAGACTTATCCTCTGCTTCACAGTACACAACATGCAATATTGTGCATGATATAGGGGTGCAAGGTTACTTTCTAGTCACAGAAAGTCAAAGGCCATGGACAGTCTTTTAGTACCCATATGCAATCTGTGGTATGCTGGTAGAAAAGTTAAGAATCATTACAGTTTTCTTACAAGGAGTTATTGCAAGGAGAAATTGTACAACATTTTTTGGTTAATTTGTGATGTGCATGGTCATAATATTTTTCAAAAAAGATTTTCTTAAATCCATCAAAGAAAAAAGAAAACATTTGATGAAATTCTTGTTTACTTAACAGGTTGACCTGATATCATTCCGTCTGCTGACAAGCTTGGGACACGCTGGCCATGGCCGAAGGAATGAGGAAAGGATGCATGATGCAAATATAGCATGTCGTAAATTAGCCTCACAACACCCTCTACTGATGTTACGGTAAACTTTCTTGTTAAACCTTTAGATCAGATATGACTTTTAACCAATATGAAATATAACAACTGGCAAATAAAGAAAGGAGTGTGCAATGAATTGATTGTTTAAGCCTATTGAATTTTACTGACAGCTGCTGAGCTTTACTTTTTGCAAAATCGGTTGAGCAATAAACATTTTTGAAGTCATGGCTACTTTATTTTGTAAACAATATTTTGAATTGAGATATTTTCATTGTTTTAACAGTCAGTTGCCTATGATGAGTGCCCTACTCAAGGGTAAAACACAGTTTAAAATAGGCCAGCTACGTCACCATAACTATCTACAGCTTTTCACACACATCCTGGGGTTGATGGAGGCAATGCAGCCATTGGTGTTCAGACGGGATTACACAGCCAGTCACAGTGACATCCTAGAGTCTTACATGTCACTTTTACAGGTCAGTAGTCACAGTGACATCCTGGAGTCTTACATGTCACTACTACAGGTCAGTAGGTACAGTGACATCCTAGAGTCTTACATGTCACTTTTACAGGTCAGCAGTCACAGTGACATCCTGGAGTCTTACATGTCACTTTTACAGGTCAGTAGTCACAGTGACATCCTAGAGTCTTACATGTCACTACTACAGGTCAGTAGTCACAGTGACATCCTAGAGTCTTACATGTCACTTTTACAGGTCAGCAGTCACAGTGACATCCTGGAGTCTTACATGTCACTTTTACAGGTCAGTAGTTACAGTGACATCCTGGGGTCCTACATGTCACTTTTACAGGTCAGTAGTCACAGTGACATCCTAGAGTCTTACATGTCACTACTACAGGTCAGTAGTCACAGTGACATCCTAGAGTCTTACATGTCACTACTACAGGTCAGTAGTCACAGTGACATCCTAGAGTCTTACATGTCACTACTACAGGTCAGTAGTCACAGTGACATCCTAGAGTCTTACATGTCACTACAGTACAGGTCAGTAGTCACAGTGACATCCTGGGGTCTTACATGTCACTTTACTACAGGTCAGTAGTCACAGTGACATCCTACATGCTTTTACATGTCAGTAGTTACAGTGACATCCTGGGGTCCTACATGTCACTTTTACAGGTCAGTAGTCACAGTGACATCCTAGAGTCTTACATGTCACTACTACAGGTCAGTAGTCACAGTGACATCCTAGAGTCTTACATGTCACTTTTACAGGTCAGTAGTCACAGTGACATCCTAGAGTCTTACATGTCACTTTTACAGGTCAGTAGTCACAGTGACATCCAGTAGGTACAGTGTCTTACATGTCACTACTACAGGTCAGTAGTCACAGTGACATCCTAGAGTCTTACATGTCACTACTACAGGTCAGTAGTCACAGTGACATCCTAGAGTCTTACATGTCACTTTTACAGGTCAGTAGTCACAGTGACATCCTAGAGTCTTACATGTCACTTTTACAGGTCAGTAGTCACAGTGACATCCTAGAGTCTTACATGTCACTTTTACAGGTCAGTAGTCACAGTGACATCCTGGAGTCTTACATGTCACTTTTACAGGTCAGTAGTCACAGTGACATCCTGGGGTCTTACATGTCACTTTTACAGGTCAGTAGTCACAGTGACATCCTAGAGTCTTACATGTCACTTTTACAGGTCAGTAGTCACAGTGACATCCTGGGGTCTTACATGTCACTTTTACAGGTCAGTAGTCACAGTGACATCCTAGAGTCTTACATGTCACTACTACAGGTCAGTAGTCACAGTGACATCCTAGAGTCTTACATGTCACTACTACAGGTCAGTAGTCACAGTGACATCCTGGGGTCTTACATGTCACTTTTACAGGTCAGTAGGTACAGTGACATCCTGGGGTCCTACATGTCACTTTTATAGGTCAGTAGCCACAGTAATATTTAATAAATGACAGGTCTGGAAGAAAGGTGTCAACTTGCCTCTGCGGTAAAGATATAGAATTTTAAACCTTGTGGATTAAATGTTAGATTAAAGAAAACCTAAAACTAAGTTTTCAGGTGTTACCATCTGTTACTACTGTGTACATCTCACACACACCAAAGAATCTTATAGTCATGTGAATGCAGGAAAAAAAGTTTAGTAGAAAAACTGCTAATTCAAACAACTAAAGTCAGCCTGTATTTGTGATAGGAATGATGAAAATGATAATGTTCCAATGTACATCTTAATGTTAAATAAGACAATGTATCATTTTCTTAATATCAATATATTTATGGTTTAAATAGAAACTGTTTTAATGACCAGTCATTCACTGTGTGATACCTAACTTTTACTGTACAATTTGTTTCAGTGTCATGGTATGGAGAGGATATTGGCTCCTATTGTTGCCAAATTTGTCAGATACCTTCAAAACTACATGATGTGTGAGCCCCAACATTCAATTAATGTCCTTCAACCACATGTTGGGGTGTTCAGGTAAGAATACAAGTAGTGGTGTTTAGGTAAGACTACCTGTGGGGGTGTTCAGGTAAGAATACATGTAGTGATGTTTAGGTAAGACTACATGTGGGGGTGTTCAGGTAAGATTACATGTAGTGATGTTTAGGTAACACTACATGTGGGGGTGTTCAGGTAAGAATACATGTAGTGATGTTTAGGTAAGACTACATGTAGTGATGTTTAGGTAACACTACATGTGGGGGTGTTAAGATAAGAAGGCATGAAGGGGTGCCCAGGTAGGACTACACGTAAGTGTTTAGTTAAGACTGCATGAGGGAATGTTTAGGTAGACCTACATAGAGGGATGTCAAGGTAGGCCTACATGAAGGGGTGTTAAGATAAGAAGACATTAAGGGGTGTCCATCTTAACCTGCACATAATACATGTAATGTAACATTTCTGGCAATATATGCATTCACCAACCCTGCTTTATTTAGAAATTCATGATTATCAAATAATTGAATTTAACCCGTTACTTATGGACGTGTAAGGATGAACCCCTCAAACTGAACCCTCTGTCCTGATCTGTACTTGCCTTGGTTCCACTGCTTTTGCGAAAGGGTCCTAGTGTTTGTATTTTATCCAGTAACTTTGTCATAGTCTTCAATATGTTTGTATCCAGTAACTTTCCCATGGTCTTCAATATATTTGTTTCAAGTAACTTTGCTATGGTCTTCAATATGTTTGTATCCAGTAACTTTGCTATGGTCTTCAATATGTTTGTTTCCAGTAACTTTAACATGGTTTTAAATATGTTTGTTTGCAGTAACCTTGCCATGGTCTACCCAGATATGCCCACCCTGAAATCCCTGCTGGCAGGATTAACCTTGCCCAGACAGACAGAGAGTGACTCTCCTCACCAAGGTGATGTAACACTGGGGCTAGCACGCCCAACCTCACCCTGGACTGTTGGACAAATTGCTCCATACCTACAGAGACTGCAAAATACCACAGACTCCTCAAGTATGTTACCAACATCTGAAGTATGCTGTGATTTTATTTTGGTTTTACAACAGATTTGCCTCTGGTGTAAAAGTGTTTGATGTAACATTCAATGTTTTTGTTATGTTTAATTAGCATATCATTGCCGAAATGGTTTGTTATTATAATATTTTGCACGAGTATAATATACATTTTGTATATTGCTATGGGATGGTATTGCAATGCAAACTACTTGGAACCAATTTGTTTGTGGGCTGCAGTAAGGGCATCACTTTTATCATAACAAACTGATGTTACAAACTTGGAAAGCTTACAGTTCATATTGTTGTTACACTTCTCTTCTGACAGAAATAGAACCTATAATGCTACACAAATGAAGATTGATATGATATTCAGGAAACTTTCATTTTGTATATGTTTGATCTTTTAAGATATTCTGGATGTTTTGCAAGATCTGGATGAAACTTCAAAGAGGAAAGTGGATATCTTAGAACACTTTCTGGTATGAAATTACAGTTTTTATAGACATTCCTTTTTACTGATTTGTTAGCTCAGAAACATTAATTGCCCTAATAATTTGTTTATTTGTATGGAAAATAAAGGTTAAATGTACAAGTTATTATCAATGTCTGTCTAGTGTACAGGAATGATGCTGTTGAGAACCCCTTGTACACTTAATTATAATGAATAATTTGGATAACTTATTAAGTGTTTATTTCTATAATTATAATAGCAGTAAATCACATACATGTATGGACTGACTAAGACCTGGCTTCAGTAATAGACTGGGTTTTACATTTTTACATTTGTAAGGCTGCTGACCATGAAAAATGGTTATAAACATGTTTACTGGAAACCAAGTAAATATTGGGTTTTGTAAAGTGCACACTTTGTTGTGTTTGTATTATTGTATATTGAACACTGGTTACAGGGAGATCTGAAGAAGTTGCTGTTAGACCTGAATGACAAGATCAGAAACACATGCTACTCACTGATCATGAGATATGCCCGCCAAGTACCAAGGTGAGCCTTCCAAATAATCCTTGTATAAAAAAAATCTTAATGAAACAAAAGAGTTACAGAATCTCTGTTTGGTCTGATTTTAAGTAAGTTATATATTATGGTTATAATTTACAGATTTATTGTTACTGTACATTCATTGAGTGTTGAAAACTTTTTTATGTAAAGGTCTGCTGTACAGTTCCTCGGCAGCTTTCTCCAGTGTTTGGACAGTGATCATTCTGACATCATCACAAGTGCTCTAAAAAATCTGCCAGAGTTCTGTGTCCTTTGTCAAGGTGAGTTTTAGTTGTATTTTCACAGTGTCTGGTTTGTATTATTGAAGTTCAAATTTTAAGCTAAGAAAAAAAATAAAATCAGCTTTCTACAGAGTTCAACTAAAACTGTAAGTCAAAGATAAACTGAATATTCACTACTACATCAAAATCAATTTAAGGACATTTTAAAAAGGAAGTGAACTCTCAAATCAATCATCAGAGCGAAAATAGACTGTAAACATATAATTACTTTAGGTGCTGAACATGTGATTAAAATCTTAATACAGGTGGGATCATTTTTCTAGCAGCAAGCGTGAATTGTATAATCCACCTTTCAGAAGTAATACAAATCTTTAACATCTCCCCACAGACCATGCAGATGTGCTGCTACAGAAGGCTTTCCTGGTGGGCACCACTACATCAATAGAGACCAGTACTTACATCATAGAGGCTTTGCAAACCCTTAACCTGGAGACAACCTTAGTGGTCAACAAGTTAGATAGTTGATGTATGGAAAGATGCTCATTGCCAACAGACAATTGACCTACAGTGCTTGTTTTGAGAATGACATTCATCTCTAAAAAGATACAAATGTTTCATCCTATTCTGGTGACAACACTTGTCATCACACAAGCAAGTTCAAGAGTCAGTTGTTAGATCCGATTTTGGGAAGATGTTTATGGGCAAGACTTGCTGATGTGTAGTTACTCAGTCTAGGAACCATTCCCATCCTCAATACTGGGCACATATGGAATCCACACTTCGTCTGTTTTGTCAAATATTGTATCAAGATAAAGTTCTAACTTTACAACCTGGAACAGATGTGGCATTTTGGATACAAATCTTGACATTTTGAACGGAGAGGACTTATATAGGCTTATGCCTGCTGTCCGATCCTATTAATGCAATTTGTTTTTGTATTAATAAAATATTTTGAAACAGAAAACATTTTGAACACTAATCATGACCGAGTCTATTGGAAATGCTTTTTTTACCATAAACAATGTCTATACTATACAACAGAGAAGTCTGCTATGGATTTGTGGGCACTACTGCTTTCTTTGACATAGTCTGAAAGTTACTTAAATATAAAAATTCTATATTTTTATATGAAGAAATTTGTCAAAAGAAATTCAGTTGAAAAGTGCTATGAAGAACAAGTGCATGTAATGCATGAAATATTTTGTCATTAAGTCTACATTAATGAATAAATTGATATTAAATAATTCATTTTCATCTTGAAATTGTATTTACATGATAATTAACTATATCCTGTCAATATCTCATAACTGAAGGTAAGATAGGATTTACAAAATGTATTGTGATCAATATGGAGACAGTATGCTGCTATATACGCCTCATGCAGTTGATAAATGTCACACTTGTTAAGTATGTGGGCTGATTGATAAGTTGTGAGCCTCATATTTAAGGGTTTGACGTTTTGCAGACATATTGCATTATTTTTCAACATAATCCCCTTCAGTATCTATACACTTTTGCCAGTGATGTTTAAGGGCCTCATTGCCACTTTTTCTTGAATTATATCATAATCTGACCGAGAGTGGGTACTTGGAATGGTCTTTTCCCATTTTGGAAATAGATAACAGTCTGATGGAGTGAGATCAGGTGAATAAGGTGGATGCTCAATTAATTCAAAGCCACAATCGTTAATGACAGCCATGGCAATGGCAGACATGTGAACACGGGCATTATCCTGGTGGAAAAACACATCTTTACTAATCTTTCTGCGATGGTCAAGTTTAATATTTTCTCTTAACTGCATAAGAAGTGATGCATAATATGTGTAATTGATTGTTTGTCCCGTTTGCAGATAATTTACCATCAGAATACCATCAGCATCCCAGAAAGCCTATAGCACTTATAGCATGCGACAGATTCCACCTGGTGTGCTTCTGATCAACTATCAGAAGTCTGGGTACCTAACGGCCGAGAGCTTTCTTATCGCAAGATCTTCTATAAGAATGAATATCCTCTTTCCTGTGAAATCCCACCTGTACTTGCTATATATCTCTCTGTAACACACCTGTCATCCATAACAATATCATGGATTTTATTAACCATTTCTGGGGTGGGGTTGCAATAGTGACAGCCTTCTAGGACAGACGACATCCCCAAGGCTTTGCCTGCCACGCTTAAACTCTGCCACCCACCTTTTCACTGTAGCAGATGCAGAGTCATCATTCACTAGTTTTGCTACCATATCAGTATGGATAGCCTTAGGTGCTAGACCTTTATTATGCAAATATTGAATCACTGCTCTTTCAGCAATTTTGTCCATTTTGCAAAAATCACTTGCTTTGTTTACTTCAGAGTGCTACCTCTTCAGTATAAACTGATCAAATGACACAAGTCTTTGGGTACACAGTCTTAAATAGTCAGGGAATAGTAGAGTTGAAAAAAAGACATCCCTTCTGAACTTCTTCAAGAAAACGCTCACAACTTATCAATCAGCCCTCGTATATAACAGATAGTTATCATTACACAAGGTCTGCTTCATTGTGGGGTATCTATAATTTGATATTACATTTTTCTTTTTTGTTCTTATTAGCAGAAAAAACGGCAAATATATATTAAGTCTCCAACTGGGAAACAAGGGAGTGTAGGGGGCCTCTAGTTCTGTATTGTGTTTTTCCATCAATCAGTCTGTCTTCCTTCAACTATCTTGGCTGGGCTCCATCTTCTACACTACTTGCCACCAGAACTTCATGCTTGGGGTATGAATACTCCTTAGTTAAGCAATTGTCATGTATCAAAATAAGGCCACCCTGACCTATATTTTGGCCTTTAACCTACATTCAAAGAAAAAGTTTGTACATACTTTATCTCCCACATCATTAGTCAGTGGAACTTCGTACTTAGTATATGGTTTCACCTTGGTAAGAAAGCATGTCAGTTGGGGATGATAATTCGCTGAAATGTCTTTTTTTTCTTTCAAATAACTAAACATGACATTATTTATGTCAGCTTATGTCATAGAAGTGTGTTTAACCCATATGCCATATGGTACCTGTATCTACTCTTACACTGACTAAATTGATATATATTCTGACAGCAGATGAAATAGAACATCGATCCTTAGCTGTGTCAAGGATACAAATTTAGTCAATCAATGGTAAAATGTAGGTCTGACAAATTAAACTAGTAAAGCAAATGTAGACACTGATGTCAGTTTCATTTATTGTAGATTAATACCAGTTCTAGTCTTTAGCTTTTATATCCTGCGTGTGGAAGATACAAAAACTGTCACTCAATATTCAGATTAATCACTGAAGTGTGGAAGAACACAGATCAAAGTAGCATTTGCAGGTCGTCTTCAGTAAAACAAACAAATTTTCCTTGTCAGTTTTGAAATAAACATAAAAGCGTCTGAAATACATATGATCAAAATTTATTTGATATAGTACTTTCACTGTTAAAATGAAAGTACTCTAACATACCATTGCACTTTGTAAACTGTATTACAATATTTGACATTATATCAAAATCTCCAGTTTATTTTCAAATATAAAATGTTTTACAAATGAGAGCCATACAAGAACTTGTATGTACATGTAGAAATATGTGATTGTAATCGTTCACAAACATCTCAAAAAGAAGATATTGTTGGATTTCTAGAGAGATGCATTTTGGATGTACAATTGTATAGATAATGACAGGAGTGACAACTTAATATTCTGTGATGATTTTATCATGTATAGGATAGACAATAAGTAATCAACAATTGGATGCCAGAGTATTTTTCCTAACCTGTGACTCGGGTAAATGGAATATCATGACAACCACATACAGTCTGCCACATTGTGAGACACCAAGAAACTAACAAAGAGAAAGCTGGATCATTAACCATTTCTATATGCAAGCATTTTCTTCTGATGCCGTCACATATACCAACAAAGACCAACCAATTACTATAGTACAACTGATGTAACTATAGTTGGTGATCAAACTAGGCCAAAATTTCATTATAACAAAGTGTCCATGCAAAATAATTACAGCGGTTTCCCCATGTGTTCTGCATGTTACTATACCAAAGAACAATTAACAATAGACATACTTGGAATGGTTGATCAACTATAATGGACATCATGTGTTAAACATATAATATTTCTGAACACTCTTTCCCACAAGCACTACAGATTTATCAAACAAAAGGAGGGGCAATATATGTCTTATATATGCCCAAGAAATATTCATGATATGAAAATGATAATAATGAGTCAAAACAGTGATATATATTGTAATGATAAAGGGATTTAGGGGAAACTGAAAAAAATCTCTGGAGAAGATAAAAATGTTAAACAAAACAAGGGCAACAACTCTCCCTAAATTGTAAAATCGCCAATGTAATTTAAGACACACCATTTCATGTGATGATGATTAAGCCAACCAAACTTGAAAGAAATTGGTTGAAAACTGAGGGAGATAGCCTCTGGAGAAAGAAAAATTTACAGTGGACAGACAATACCGTACCATTGTGTATCACATCAAAATTTTGAATGGGCGTCTAAAAGACATGACAATGTATGACACCTGAAATAACATGACAAATATCAGACATTTAAAACCTATCTGGGATGGCCAACAAAACTTCTGAGAGACTCATTTAGAAAAAGATATAACACAAATATATAAACAATATATCACACTTTTAAATTACACATTCAAACTAAAACTTACATTGAAACTTACACTTACATTCAAACTTAAACTTACAGCGTCTGTTGATCTCTCACCATCATTCAAACCTGAATTTCATCAATCAAGCATCAATAAGACTCAAACTGTTACAATCTTCATACACATCCAACATTTACAGAGTGACAGTATAAATAATGACATATTCCGATGAAGATTACTTCCTTTCTCACACAACTGTATTGTTGGCATGGTCTGGTCCTGCATCTACTGGCTGTGGGACTGGAACTTCATCATCTGTCGTAGAAAGGGTGAGAATCAGTGACTATGTTATAGACAGGATGAGAATTAGTGACCTCAATGTAGAGAGGGTGAGAATTAGTGACTTTGTTATAGAAAGGGTGAGAATTGGTGACTTCAATGTAGAGAGGTTGAGAATTAGTGACACTGTTAAAGACAAGGTGAGGTTTTGTGACTTTGCTACAGAGAGGATGAGAATAAGTGACTTTCAAAGAGAGGGTGAGAATTAGTGACTTTCAAAGAGAGAGTGAGAATTAGTGACTTCAATGTAGAGAGGTTGAGAATTAGTAATTTTCAAAGAGGGGATAAGAATTAGTGACTTTGTTATAGAAAGTGTGAGAATTAGTGATTTTCAATGAGAGGGTGAGAATTAGTGACTTTCAAAGAGAGGATAAGAATTAGTGACTTTGTTATAGAGAGGGTGAGAATTAGTGACTTTCAATGAGAGGGTGAGAATTAGTGACTTTCAATGAGAGGGTGAGAGTTAGTGACTTTGTTACAGACACCCTGAGAATTATTAGGTCTGTTTTAGAGGGACCGAGAATTAGTTACTTATTCATAGATTGGGAAAGAATTAGTTGGTGAGTGTTTGTCATAAAGAAGACACGAATAGGTGACTCTAGTATTTTAAAGATGATAGTAACAGATTACTTAACTAATGAATGTAATGTGCTTGCACCCATCAAAAGACGGATGAAGATGTATCATCATAAATGCCATAACCTGACTGCCACAGAATGACTAATGACAAGTTTACCCAGATGTATAATGACAAGGTTGTACATGTTTCAGGCTGTGGACAAACTTAGTCTGAGTATGTCCAATGCGATATTTTGCATTTACACTGTGGGATTCATGTGCAGTATCTTCTCTCTATTTTCTAATGTCATTATTAGATATGACTTATTTTAAGGTATTACAAAACCTTACTTTTCACAGCCAACAGTGCTCTCAGTCCTTCTGCTTCCTTTTTCAGTTTGTGATATTCCTGAAAAATTAACACAAAAGAATATTCAATTTTATCTCTTCAGCAAATTATAATACCAAAGTAATACAGGTAGAATTGTAATAAATGATAGACATTATATCTTACCTCCTTACACTGATAAAGGGTATCAAATTCACCCTTCTGTTCTTTCTCTTCCAGCTTCTCCTGTTCAACTGCTGCTTTGGCAATCACTTGTTGGACGCTTTCTGACAAACAATATCCAGCTTCTATGAATATTTTCTTCAAACGTTTATCATACCCCTGAAAAGGTATCAATAGGTTGTGATATATTCATATCAATCATCTATTTGCAATACCAACAGAAGTTTTTTCATATTTTGAAAAGAAGGGTTTTAACATAACAGTTTAACACATGATAGTACACAGGCACTGTGCTCTTTTTTGCATTAAATATTTTAGAAGCTAAAAAACAATCTCACACATCATTCTATATACTGTGTAATTTTAATTTCTTTTTATTATTGTGTTTTTTTTTATTTTAAACAAAATTCTGAAGTTAAATTATTATACATATGCTTGATGTTTTTCAACATTTATGGGATTGCACAATTTTACATGATGTGCAACGTGTGCACAATGTCTGCATGATGTGCATACAATGTTTGCACAATAAGAAAATTGGATGAAATAAGTTTTCACATATTCTTGCACATGTTGTGCAGTTTTATCACACAACAGTGGGGTTCTATCATGGTTAATATAAATTTAGAAATGACTTATAGGATAAGTGTGGGATGGAGCTTATTTGTGTGTGTGCATTACCACAACCATAATCAAAAAAATATATATTGGTTGAATGTTGCAGGTAGCAATTTCCACTAACTCACCAAAGAAATATTACACATTAAATCATAAACAAGTGGTTTGTCTTTCCTGTGATTGTATTCTGACCTTGCGAGTAATTTCTTCACGTTGGTACTGGCCCTGTAGATGGTCCCATGCCAGACGAAGATGGGGTGGCAGGTTTGGGTACACCAACATGGAATGTTCTGCACATACCAGTGGTGTGGAGAATTGTAACTGATAGTGACACTTACTGTTCTCAGTAACATTCAGAATCTCATTACTCTCTGCACATTCAAACAAAACCTGTTAAAGTAAAAAAGACTCATATATTATAGTATTACACATTACAAAATTCTGGATATTGGATAACCAGTTTGAATCCCAGACTCAAATCTTCCATATTTTCACTCATAACTAGAAATTAAATATCAAGTTTTAATTTCATTTACAATGGGAAAAGTACTTTTTTTCTTGCACCATATTTTATATCTCTGTAATATTTGTCTTTTTATTAAGAAGGGACATAACTCTAGCTGGTTAGGACTTTTAAAATTACGTGTATTTTGTTATGTTATGTTTCCACAACCACAACTACAGTGAAACTTTCTAAATACAGCACCCTTGTACTTCTGGATATGTCTCCACATCTTTCTCCTTCCCTCATAATCATGGCCACAAACTTGTTGTCTTCTATCTCCCATTCCTGCCATACTCTGAAATCAGCAAACCCATAGATCTGAACAGATATACAATTAACAAGAAAAGTATATAATAATACCTTTAAGACCATTCACAGGAATTATGTAAGAAAACAATATATTAAGTTAAACTTGACAACACATAATACTCAAACACAATGAAAAAATATAATACTGTATAAAAATTAAATACGTAAATAGAAATGAAGCCATAACATATTCATCTGCATGATAGACCGAAATGTCATAATAGGGAATGTAAAACCCTTTAAATAAGTAAATAAATATTATCTCATCAAAATGCAAGTAAGAAAACTCCATTTCAAGTCACTAATATCAATATTATAAAGTTTGAATCATATTAAACGAAAAACAAGAAGAGGATCTCCAGACAAAAGAAATAACTCTTCCAAAGCCCATCAAGTCAAACTGCCATTGCTGAAATCTGCTCTATATCTTGATGATAAAGCCTAACAAATTTTAAAGAGATCAGTTCTGAAAAGCTGAAAAAATAACAAGAGGCCCAAGGGCCTTAAGGTCACCTGACTGACCTCTATTCTCGTAACATGTCATAAAAATGTTTTTGTTAAAAAAAGTAATATCACTTTAACTATATTGTACACATAATGCAAGCCATCCCAAGCTAAGGCTTCTGGCTAAGGGAGAATTAAAAAAAAATTCACTCAAGATTTGAATTTTCCTATATAAAATCTTCCATCCAGGAACAGTGGAAGAACATCTTTGAAAATTGAGTCAATTTGACCCACTTTTGGCCCCACCCATCAACCCCTGTGAGTCAGTCAAGGGTAATATGTGCATCTCATTAAAATGTCATCTTAAACTAATAATTCTATCTAGGCTTTAACTATTTCCAATAGAAAATAAGCAAATAATGTTCAAAACTGTGATCCTATATAAACTATAGTAAACTTTACCTCCTCCCCGGAGGAAATGTGACAACCTGGGGTCATGAAATTTACAACTTTGATAAAGCATCTGAAGGTCTTTCCATCCTTGATGAGTACTTGATTCCACCATACCTGGGATTTGAGACGAGTTTTGAAGTTTCAATCAATTTGACCCTTTTTGGCCCAGCCCCTGGGGGTTGGGAACCATATAATTTATAATTTTGGAGCACCTTAAGCCATGGAAGATTTTTGGTAAAATTTCATTGAAATCGGTTCAGGAGTTTTTCAGAAGTGGAATAAAGTTTACGCCACATGATGCACTACGCGAGACAAAAGGGGATCACAATAGGTCACCCCGAGACTTTGTCTCAGGTAACCTAAAAAAGATGAAAAATGATAATGATAACTCCTCCTAAAACAATTCAATTTTAATACTGTTCAGAAACCACAATCGCATCTAAAAGTTACAAGGCCAACCATGTTTCAAAGAAATTGGTTTAAAACTGAAAAAGCAGATCTCAAGACAAGTTTGAAATTCTGAAGACCCAAAGATAGTTTAATCAAACTGCCATTCCAGAAAACACAGCTTCTTGTCATGGTGATAGAATAAAATGAATTTGGAAGAGACGGCTTGAAAACCAGGAGATCTCTAGACAAAGAAAAGCTTGCATATATACATATACATATATGTTAACACATGTATCCATATCACATGTGTATTCACAAATTACATACACACAATAGTACACAAACTTACCCTAACACTCCATGAAATGGATTCCACCTATATGACTGCTCATGTTGAGTCACATTTGAAAATGGACAAAACTCATACTTGTAACTGAAAATGGTAAAGTACACTACATTATTGTGTTAAAAGGCATTTATGCATCTTCACTACAATTCAACAGATACATTAATTTCCAAAACTAGTCAAATTAAAATGACATGTGGAAAAAAGTGTTTCATGTTTTGATAATAAACATACAAAGATTGTGGTTGAAGCTTGTCAGAAGAAATCTTTGGAAAGTTGAAAATATGAAGGACATTAATTTGAATTTGCTCCACAATTTTTTTAATTTAAATGCCATTCAGAAAAACAAAAAAAATGATGCTATAAGTAATAAGTCTCCCAAGTTTGAAACATGTGACTGGACAATATTTAGAAAGTGAAAATATAAAGAGCAGTAACTCTTGAAACATTTCTCAATTCAAAATGCTGTTCAAGAAAACACCATTTCATTTCACAGTGAGAAAGAGGTCAGTAGAAATACAGATGGACATTATTCTATAATGTATCCCATAAAATTTGTTTGGTGGGCATATGAAAATTAATTCTAGCTTATCAACTACTAGGCAGCATACACACATTAGGGTTCCCTAATTACTCAATAAAGCTTGCAATAACAAGCCAAACAAAACTCTCTTATTTCCCATTGTAATACAAGAGAAAAACACACATGGTTTTAGACAGGCCTCGCAATTCTCTGAGAAAATGTCAATATAAACAAATATTGCAATAATATAAAAAAAAAATGTTAATGTTTTCAATCTTTCCACATATAAAAAGAAATTGCATACATACCCTAATATTTGTTTTTCAAAGCATTTATGCTCAAAAGTCCTTAGATGTGGAGGTCCAGAGAAATTTGATGGTTTTACACGCATCTTCAACTTTGTCTCATCATTGTTGACTCCCACATTATAATTGTTGAAACTATAATGAAAATATTAGTTACAATTAGCTTTAACATTATGGTTTAGACTATACATGTAGTTCTACTTCAAAGGACACATAAATAAACTACAACATCAAGAAAGTCTTACTTTCCTTGTACTTTTTCAAAACTATCAATGTGAATCTTTCTTTCGTTCAGACCATGTCCTCGTTGCATTGATTTTTAATTTGAATTCAAATCTTTTATTAACAAATCAGTCTTTTTAAAAGTGTTAGCTATAGTGAATCTCCAGTGGGGATAGGAAAAAAGAATTTTTTGGATGAACTAGTTTTAAACATATTTTTACTTCAGTGCAATTAAATGATTGATCAACAAGAGCAGTACTTTCACAGGAATACGGCATTCTTTTCTCTCCTACATTAGGGAGTTGATATTCATGACTTACCCGTAATTTGAGGGTTCCTCTACAATTTTCATATTGACAACTTCACCATCTGAAAGTATAATACCTTAGGAATACAGTGTTAATTTACAACAGAAGTACCAAACCTCAAGTCAATAACTTCACACATCAAGTCAAGGCTAGTTTTCTCCTTCTTATTCCTTTCCATTTGAGATACATGTAATTTGCTGAAGTATAACTATGATATGTTGTACACATATTTTTCATTCTGATATTTGACCTCAATGGGAATTGTTGATATTAACAAAACAATGAATATAAGACATGTTTGGCTGTTTGGAAAATTTCTTTATGAAATAATCTGTCAAAAAAGTTTGCATGTTCAATTTAAAATTTACACACCTTTCTGATATTGCTCACTATGTATGTAATTCAGTGAGGTATCCATCGACTACTACAGGGAGACACCTAATGACTGTAACCTAACCCAAGTGTTTCTGTGATTCCATGATGTCATCAGAAACAGAAATGCTTTCACATTTCCGATACACATGTCAGTTATTTCAGGTGAGCGAATTCGAGTTTTGAGGTCGTATCTGTGGCTATTTTTTTTTGCGGAAAATACAGATGTTTCACTGATCAATTTTTAGAAAATATATATTATAGTTTTCATTTATGTATTTGTTAGTTGTAGTTCATTGCTGTAGCGTGGATAACGATATACGAATCTTAAGGTATCCGAAACTAAAGTGTCAAGGATAATGTATGTATGTGTTGTTGAATTATTGAACAAATTAAATGCATATTAACCAATCTATTTAATACTGGTGCAAATGCAAAACTTTTTTGCATTCTATTTATCGCATTAAAAGTCAATTTCTCATCGATAGAAGCAGTTTTGGCATAGCTAAAAATCCACGGAAGTAAACGCGATATCCGACACGTTTTAATTAACGCAACCGAGTTATGTTTTATGCATGGATAGTGCTCTGAAACTGACCATAATTGGGAACTCAAATGAGGTACTTCACCTCTTGGTAGACAGGCAACCGACCAAAATTCGTGAGTCTTAACAGAGCAATATCTGATTACGGCCAGGTTCTGCCTGATTGACTGCTACAATATGGCGCCATGACAACTTAAAATAAATATATTTGATGATTGTTTTTATCAAAACAACCACGAGTTCCTTCGTGATATATACCTGAAGTTAGGAAGCACTTCAGAAAAAACGCTAGCACAATACCCGTCTTCATGTTGTATATCTCCACCTCACTCAATAGAGTTCATGGTGATATACACGCTTGTAGCACAGTGCCAAAAGAAAAAGCGTTGTGTTGATTCAGATTGACACATCGTTGGCGATACTAAACAACATTTTTGTTTGGATAGTATGTCCCATCTCCCATTGATGCATCAAATGCAAAGCAGAGTTCTCTTTATTTCGATCTGACAATAATAATATTCGATGGTAAAATTCTGTGGAATTATGTAATGAATGGATATAGGTTAAAGTGATTTGTGACTCAAACTTTTGATGAATGTGAGATATTGTATTTATTTTTTATTGTGTCCCTTGTTATAATATCAATAAAAAACACTAAATCTCCAACATACAGTTTTGCTTCTCATATTTTTATATGAATGTTTGATCCGCATGCATGTTTTTGCTTTGAAACTGAAAATAGATATAACTCGTGAAAACCTCTCATTATTTATATATTTTCCACGTTTCGGAGGATATGGGAAATAATTGTGCTATGGGTACGTTCTTGGTGTGTTTGCATAACATGTTTAGGTGCGATCGTCAAATAAAAGAGTGACACGTGATCTGCACGCGTACGTTCTAGAGCAGGAGAGAGAGTGTTAGGGCAGGTGAGGTATTAGGTAATCTAACCGTGGACACCAATATTAATCCGTACATTTAAAAATGTATTAATAAAATTATATTCTAATCATGTCGTTCTTCATCACCATATTCTAGGCTCTATATGATCTATATTGTATAAAAAAAAATACCCTAGCTTTATGATAACGCATAGCATTTTCGTATACATTTATAGCATGTTATTCTTTAGTTTGTTTGAAATCCATCGCATTGAGCCTTGAGGGTTGGTGCACCGCCTGTGTTTCTTTTAAGGTCTTCAGGTTGGGTGTCTCGGTTTGGCTTATTAGTTAAAATTCTTTTTGGTTATACTTACGAGTGTGGTATGTCGGAGGGGCTTTTTATATGGTGAAGGTTTTATTGTGTAATTTGTACCATGAAGACATTATACATGTATATATACGTAATAAACACCGGGTGCTGAATCTATGGTCCACTCAGGCTAATCGCAGTTATGTGCTCGAATTATTGTCTAGTGTGGAGTTTATAGAAGATTTACACATCCCTCCCCGAAATGTACAAATACCGTGTCGAAGCTGTATATTTCAAGTCTATAAGAACATAGCCAGACCGAGCTCACCACTGTGCTACTGTTACGTTACACACGACGAAGTGAGAAATTAGAAGTCTTGTTACATGTGTAGTTTTCTCCTAATATTGAAATATTTTGTGCTTGTATTCGTGTAACCGAAAAACCAAAGATGACAAGCATGTGGCCATTATTTCGAGGTTGGGTTTCAGATATACATTAATGAATTATTATGCTGATATCGCGAAAATTCAAATATCTCCATATCATCAAACCCTGCAACCCTATCCTTACACTTATAAGACAGATAACCTGTATTACAATTTAAGATGGCATCTTCAGTGTGTGTTTCACATTTTCTATGAATTATCACCTGAAGTTATGTTCATTTGAATTCTAATGCTAATTGTATTTGATATGAATATATAAAGGTTGTATGTCTGTCTTCATTACCAATCCCTCCATATAAAAAACATCAAAGTGCACGAGCTTTAACTGATATATAAATACTTAAATAGATTCACGTCTCTACTCCATCGAAATGCTGAAGAGTTTATCAAAATTTGAAAATAACGAGTTTAAAATAACACTATGATTATTATAAAGAAAAAAAACGTATATGTCAGCCTTCAGACAGACAATCGGTAACAGAAATTTAACTTTGACACTGTGTCTGGACAAAAGATCAGCGGCAGATCTCTATCCTGCAACTGGTGCTGCCATTGTTCGGTTACACCTGTCACATTCGACAGAATTACTCTCTGAATACTTAAATATTACGTTTTGAAATACGAATAGTTATTGAAATAAGCAATTTAACATGTCATGAACAAGTTGATCCATAAACATTTATGACATTGCTGTTATATCCGATGAAGTTTGGAATTATATTTCCGCGCGGAGCAATTATTTTGGCGTCCGTCATCAGGCAAAATTCAGCGTAACGTCATATAATTACATACAATTATATAAATCTCTGTCATCAAACTATAACCATGTCACCACGTGATCCGCTCTGCGTATAGGATGGATTAGAAAGTTCTTGTTTTGTTGATTCACGTTGAACAGTTTAAATGTTGTCACTGGAATACAAGGTCTAACTAAGCAGGGTATACTAAAACGATGTGGGTTGACGTAATCCATGCAACACTCCCATGACCAACTTTGTTCACTTTTTCTCAAATATGTTTGTCAGATGTTAGTTTAACATCACTGGTGACATCAATAACCTTTTCTGACTCCATAAATATCAATGGCTGTACACCTTCCATCTTGTGCTGCCATCGCGCACAGTTTTACATTTGTCTTGATGAAAACGTGGTTGCTAGATATCTGACCGTTGGTGTTACGAATGTATATATTGTTACAGAGCCATACAGTCTTGTTCCTCATTTTTACTGCTCTGCAAGCTGTTATGTTATCCGCGAATGACAACGGGGGTAAACACGTGACTTGGAACTGATAGGAGAACAGTCAGGAAAGTACCGCTTAGAGGTAAGCATAATGTGTTTTGATTGTTTTATCGTTGATAGTTGTAGAATCTAACAAGTGCGCGGGACGAATAACACTTTATGGAAAATATTTAGTACAATCATATGTGCTGTAGTTTCTGCAAACACTTCAAAACAAGAATCAAAACAGACAAGACAGAGAGAATACGGAGTTTTTCCGCCGTAACAGAAATGTCAAAAGTGGATAAAATATACCAAATTATCAGTCAGCAATGAGTATATTAGTATATTTGGCTGTTTAATGCGAAAAAGAATTTTAGTGATATAGAGAACAAACAAAGTTGTAACCGATATGGTGACGTTATGCACGTGCAGCACTTATTTAATCATGGACTTGAGATCATTGACAAAACATTGTTTTACTCTACACCATTATTCCTGTGTGTGCAGTGTGTGATAAACTTTAGAAATAAAAGCAGCTTGAGGCAACATGAAAGACGTCATTCTGGGTACGCCAAATACGAAACGTGTGACCAATTATTTTTCAAGCGCGACAGTGCAGCATCACTTTAATATACATATTTCAAGCAATCCTTGAGTGTGTCCTGCATGTGACAAAAAGTTACATTTTAAAGGCAGTATTAGAAAAGCGTACTCTCCGAGAAGATGGACATTTTCAGCTCCAATGTAGAATTTGTCAGAAAAAGTTTGAACAAAAGAAACAATTACAAAATTACATAAGCAAACATACCGACAAAAAACAGGCAGTGCAAAGTATATGGAAAGCGTCAGAAAGCGATCCTTTCCGCTTACCCACACAGGCTCTCCAGACCACCCCAACTAAAGTCCAACAAGAAAATAATTGGAAAGATAAAGCATCTCTTTCTCTCCTTCTTAAAGGTAATTTGTGGCAAGTATTTGTTCCTAGACTAATCTGTCATCCTTAATGCGAGATGCACTTACTAATCTGTCATCCTTAATGCGAAATGTACTTTGCCTTCCACCTGGTCACATTTCAAGAGTACTACAAGATATACCGCTATCGGCCGATAACAAGACAGATCTTTTTTTTTGCGATAATGATTTATTAAGATATTTATGTCATATAGTTTGTTAATATGTAGACTAATATTTCATAAACAGCGTTGTACGAAATCATGAATTAAGGAATAAATGCAGGTTTGCAACATCCTTCTCCAACAGCACCGTATAATATCGATGTAGACATCAATAATATCGATGACGATAACAGGACATCTATCTCAGTAAAGAGCTGATTATGATTCCACATTTAAGGCACTGCTTACACATTTTGTTAGATATTTTATAAATGCATGTTTCTAATACATTATGCTCATGTAAACCAAACATCACATTTTCATGTTTTTGATTTGGTTTTCGGAGTCTAAAATCGTTATCGCCACTCGTGGCCGATATGCGCCCTGTCCGATTAGTTTATCCCGTTCGGGATATGACTTGTATCCTTATCGGTCACATCGCTTGTCGTCATACTTCCCAGATCCTTTTGCGAACTCAATGGAATGCTGAACACTGGAGACTTTTGCAAATTAGGTTTCGATTTGCCTACAGATTGAAGACTCTGAAATGCAAATCTGGAAATATGAATACTTTTATTTGATAACATCCTAAACATTTCTCTTGTAGACCGATTTTATATGAGATGATACAAAGAAATATTAATTAGTGTATTTGAAGAAACAGAGAATACATGGAAACAGTCCATGATTATCGCTAATGTTGTCTAATCAAATTCTTTGATTCTATTATCGATATATAGATCGGTTATCAAAAAATCAATATTACCTGTGTAAGATGGCTGCCAGCAGCGAGCCCCCTAGTGGCCCCACCCAATACACGTAGTGGTAAGTCCAAGGATCCTGGGGTATAACAGCCGAGGCTGCCACAGCTGGACCAAAACTTCGGGCAGGGTTCATAGAGGCGCCGGTCGTACCACCACTATAACATTGACAATAGTATAGCAAAACTATTGTAAAGTAAACCGAAATAGAGTGTTTACACTTGGTTTAATTAGTACAAATGGACTGTCACCTACATTAACAACCCACTAAATTGAAATTTCAACTTTCAAAATGGCCGTCATGTTACCTGATAACAACAAAAATCAAATGTTCTTACAACTGCTGAATCATTTATTCTAAGAAGAATGCTAAACGATTTAAATAGGTTTACACATTAAACCTAATTTGGAATCCAATAAGGCTTCATCGTCCTAGAATTCGTTTGGCCATGTCAGTGTTGGTCTACATCCTACAGTAAGGCAGTTCTAATTGTCCAAGTCGACCATACCTAATGCCTAAGGACAAATTATAATCCTTTATGGGATTAATGATATCAGAGCTGTCATGATGGATCCAAACAGTAATATTTGGTATATACCATAGAATATTTTCCGAGGTATTCCATGTCTAATTCTGGAAATTCAGAATTATCCGCAGTAGCATCTAGTGACTTGCCCCTTCTGGTAAGATCGGGCTCATTTTTCACACGCTCAGCTAAATTGTTGTGAACACTAAGGCGTACTTTCAGTTTGGCAGTCAGCGTCCTATCCTCTGCGTCTCAGTCTTGCGTTCTAACATATATGGGTCCTCGGATTCCTTTGAGACAGGCTGTTACTATTGTAACGAGTGCTCCGATGGCATCAAGGAAATAGTTGGAGGCAAGTTGTGTTTTGAAACACAGGAATTGCTTGATTCGTCTGTGATATAACTCCACTACCCATGTGGATTTAGTTATAGATCTATCAAGGTTAGGTTGAGTCATATTGAACCCGACCAGGCTTTAGAAATGACAGCAAAATATTTTGTCAAACTACGTGAATCCAAATCTGGCAAATCATCAGTTTTTTAAATTGCAACATAGTGTTTGATAATTAGATATTTCTGTTTATACACTGTACCCCCTTTTTTGTTATTTGTTATATTCAAAGTTTACATAGATATTGTATAGTCTGCAATTTTCCGTGGTTTTGCAAAAGATTTCGTCATAAAGAAAAGGCATTGCCCGCAGAGGATTTTAATGCTACACAAAAAATTATGGTAGGTGTTTAAAGTCACCGCTTAGTAGAAAATGTTAAGAAAGTAATGCCAAAAGAACAAATATGGTATTGGGGTATGTGGGGTACACACTATGATATTTATGTTTTGGTTCGAACTTTCCGATTTCGTTAAAGTAATTACTATATTTTATCTGTTTTGTGACAATCGGCGTTTATAGTTTAGTAATTTAGTTCTATAATTAGTAGTGATAAGTAGGAGGGTTGAAGGGTGAAACAATATCTAAGTCACTCCTTATGGGAAATTAGCATTGCTTGGAACCCCGCCTTTGGAAAAAAAGAGGTTAAATTTATTGCTTGGCATTTGAATAAAATATTCAAGGAATTACAATGCCCGACGCATGCTGAAGATCAGTGCAACATGCATAGACGAATTAACTTGGGATCTCTAGGTGTTTCACAACAACATCAACAATACTTACGCTGCCATAATGTCTACAGCTACAGCCAAACCGATGGCGAATGGGGCTAAATCGTTCTTTGTTTCTTCGTTCACCGCATTCATGATGACCGAGAGGACAAGAATAGTAGTAAGGATTACTTCTCCGAGTATGGCCCAGCCAGCATCTATATTAGGGATATGGGATCCACCAGCCATCATGTTGTATATGTTGTCATCAATTATAGCCTGTGGCAAATCAGAGTGACATACCGGCTGACTTAATGTATAGGTATTTATTAAAGTGTTAACTTTGTGCTATTTTAATACAAATAAAATGATAATAGTTTATCAAATTGAACAACATGTACTTGTTTGGTTTTTTTTAAATATTTGTCTTTAATTGAAGGTAAAAGCAATATCAAATATAAATCACATCAACATAATGCTGATACCACCTTGCTTGGGCTTTGTCATTTACAGTTGTAGAGACAAAACCAGCGAATGGATTTTTAAATCACTAAACCGTCTTGATATGGAATTATAATGATAACTGATGGCACAGATGGGAAATAAACAATTATATTTATGCTAAGTGATGGTCAAACATCACACAATGTGTAGACCCATCACCTTTATACAGAATTTTATGAGTGCTTGCAGAAGAACTTGGAAATTTTCTAATACAACAGAACTTCAAAGATAACTTCTATTTTGTATGTTCATCACATTGACAAAACGGTGATCATTTTACATAGGAAAACATTGACTCTTACCCTGGCGAATGCAGCACCAAGCATTCCCCCGAGGATCTGGGCGACAGCATACGCAATAGTGAGGACAATGGAGAGACCGCCTGCCAAACATACTCCCAGGGACACTGCTGGGTTAAAATGACCGCCACTAGAAAACAAGACATCAGTATAACATCGGAATGTTGTGACAAGGAGACCGACCCCTCTCAGTAGATTACACCCAACTGGGTTAGGCATGTTGATACATGGACATACTGACATATTGTAGTAAGATTTCGAATGTCCATCAGAAGGGATTTTGGATTTTATGATAAGATATCGAACTTAGTAATGAGATTTTGGATTTTATGATAAGATATTGAACTTAGTAATATAAATATGAATACAGATTGCATGATAACTAGACGTTATATGAATTCCAACTTTAACATTTAAAACATAATCTGTATTTAATAATTGAAAAGAAGAACGCCAATGACATACAATTAACTTTTTCAACGTTTGGTAAGACCTATACATATTATAAGTCTTTGACTGATTTGTTTTTCTGGTACGTCCAGCTACAAGACCAACTTCCGTTAAACAACACATATTCAATAAATTAATCAAGAGATTGTAGAACTAACCTGATTTTCCCGAGGCCCATGATTAGTAGCGCGATGGTCAGTCCATGTGCTAATCCCACTGATGTTAGGGAAGCACCGGGCCCAGGCTGTGCGGATAGTACACCAATGAAGACAAACAAAGTTGTACCTATAAACTCCGCCAACACTGGTCTTCCGTAGGTGTGGAATCTACCTACATCGTAATTCTTATTACTGTGGACTACGCTGTTCAGTTCTGCCATACTGTTGAAATCTGACATTTTCCAATATTTGCTTGGGCTATTTATGCACCGGTGTGGTCCTCACATGTGTCAAGTGTATCATGTGACATCACGTTGTATCTCGTGTCCCGTCACTTATTTGTTTTTCATGTACTGATATGTCAGTAAGTACACATACAGTATAGAGAGCAATATCGGACAATTTTGTAAAGGTTAATAACGCAATACGACCATGCAATATATTTGTTCTATTAAAAAATCACTTACATTTAATATAACCACTGGATAATTACAGAGAGACCTACTGAAATTTAGTTATCGGTGTTCAGTACCTAGTATGAATGTAGATGTTGAAAAATGACTCAAACTAGATTCATTTAAGATGCTAGATATTAAGAAAAGCAATGTTCATTGTTTCTGTATTCCCATCACATAAACATCCATTATGGTAACTATCCTTATTTCATTACCTAAATGTCGCAGGCTGTTGTTCAAAAGTTCAGTGCAAATAACCAATAATGGAATGGAACAGTCTCTCAGTATTTACAGCTGCTGCGGACCTTGAGCACAGACACAACTACTGAAGTCGAAGACAAAGCTTTATCTACGTCCCTAAACTTGTAATGTGAGCTATGAAATCAATTGTTTAGGGAAATTTTACTTTCAACCACGAGAAAGTCGTAAAACCTTTGCCGTATCTTTAACATGTCTTTTAAGGACAATATCACCATACACACAAGTCAACAACAATTCAAATATACTGACATGTGAACGGACTCTTAATACAAACTTAAGTCAATGAAATGAGGATATCAAATAAACAAAAAAGGTAGATAATAATACTAGATAATCCGGACAGATAAGAGCCTTCTGCTTCATCGACGACACTTGAGATGTAAATCTTGCTCAATCCAAGTAAGAAATGAGAACAAGGATCATAACAGAGCCACCATCGAACACGCCCTACTTTGTAATGCACAGGACAAAGGCATAGATTATTTCCAAATGAAATCGTAGTGACAGCAATAGGATAACTCTATAATCTTTATCAATCTGCATTTCTCGAAATCTTTGTGGCCTTTGTTAATAAGATATCCGATAAATTCAGCCGTCTATGAAAACATGTCAGCTAAGAGTGCACCCAGTTTGTTTCCAGTCGTCTGTTGGAAGATATTACTATCATACTTGGACAGGAATCTTGCCTTTAGGCGTACTTTTACACGAAACACGTCCCATTAGTTCACACCCATATATCCGTACCGCCGTTAAACTTCCATTGAAACAAAGCTCTCATCAACAGAGAATGAAGGCGCCCCTTCTGAATGGTGTATGGAAGTGTGCAGAATGGAAACATCTTGTAAAGGAGAAATGTATTTTTTAAAAGACCAACTATTCATGTGTTACATATGACTTATTTATATTATTTATTTGTCTATTTTTGGATGATTCACCTTATCATACATATTGAAGTTGGGTTATTAACAGTATCTAACCAATGATTTAAGTAGAAAACATATATACGTTAACCGCCAACTACTAAGATAAGCATCCTATCGTAGATTATACTACGTCTGGGCTTAGTTACTGGGCTTAACATCACAATAAGGTATGGCGGATACTGTACAGTCACAATTCACTTCTTGAATGCTGTATATAGCACAAATAATTTGTTTTTTCATGTCATTTGTTATTGAAAAAATGTGTGCTGAAAAATACGGAATCATTATTTCGTAGTGTAAACCTGATAATGCTCTCAAGAGTAGACATTGTCGTGGATACCTCTTTACTGCATCGCATTCATTTTATTCTTTTACACGATGTCTAAATCGCTGCGTATTGTTTACTTGATTTGTCAGTAACCAGTAACCAGACCACTTTAATACTGTATTTACATTACGTAGACTAACTACTGTCTTGAATTTATCTCCAGACTTTGTACAAGGTCAGATAGCCGATAGATAAAGTATTCTCTATATACTCCAACAATTATCAATAATTTACTTTACTCAGCATTTACATATTTTTTTCTTCATTATCGGTTATGACTGTGTTAGTCTAAAACTTATATTTATTTTGCAGGTGATTGGTAATTTTACTGTAAATAGAGTATTGAAACCTTGACCTTGGTGTACAGTTCCATGACAACTAAATGTATAGAAATCATAAAATCATGAATAAATATGAAATATTTGAAGATAACGTAAGGCTGTTCAATATTGCTGTAGGTTTCCTCATTTCAGTGTCTTGTTTCCAAATAACGTGGTAATTGCGTAAGGCATGATGTCAAATCGCATTCTTTGTATTCATGTTTTAGGAGGAACTGTTTTTTAATTAACATTATTCCTAACGTTATATTCTTACTGAAGGTATTTTACACAAATTAACATTTATAAAGATCTAAGATTTTTACTCTTTAGTGATCCTCTAAAAAGTAATAGTATAAAGACAAACAAATGTGAATGTATTTGTCAGGCTACTAGCTCCATTTGTATATTTTACGTATTTAATATTTCTTATTCTTTATTTCATACCTATGTAATAGACTGGGTGTTAGATAACCGATATCATGGTTTGGCATCAATCTATTTTTTCACTTACGTATGACAAGAAGATAACAATTTTCATGATAACTTACTTGAATTTTTTACATTTGTCTACAGATATTATTGTAATATGTTATTCACTGTGAAGATATTTTCTAACACAAGATGACATGAACAGACAATATCTCCGAAAACACAATGGAAAATATCTCGAGTTTGTTCAAAAGCTACCGTATATATATAAAACATTCAAAAGTCCACACAGTTGTTCTGTGATAGCCTCATAATAAAATATTTATATTTTCAAAGTTGGAAATATCATTTGAATTAAAGATGAATGATGATATAAACATTAGCATTTTCATTCTATGTTACATTGGACTATAACATTTAGCTAACAGATTGTAGTATCTGAGATTATAAAATACACTAATGAGTGATTCGGTATCTATGTTACGCAATGCTCCTCATACAGTCTTATGACAGTAATTGATACCTGAACTAGACATTTTTATCTCTAAATAAGTTAATATATGTTATCAGGGAATAGTACAAAATATAGAATATCACGGGTTACTCTGTGTGACAATCTAGTATGGTTGATATAAATGGGTCACTCGCATCGTACTTAATAACCTGTTCTAATGTATTATATTACAAGATCATGTGTTGGTGTTAATTTACCAAACACTTGATTCAATAAACAAGTGTAGCTGGCATTGATTCTCGCGTAAGGGTTTAGTTTTGTATTTTCCTTAAGTGATACTTAATACAAAATATAACCATTGGCAAAAATTGTATTCTGTACATGAAACACAAACAGTGTACAGTGAAATCAAAATGAAAACACGATTATTTCCATTTATAATACAGTTCCTGACTTTTGTATATTTATTACATTTCTTCAAAAGACATAGCTCAGTAATCGGCTTTCCTTTCAAAGCACCATATTATTCTTTTTTCAGTCAGTTGTAAGGCTCAGGGGATGGTGATCTTGGTAAAGGTGGAAACGAATCCGATGTTTCCAAATCCGTCTCGATATCAGTATCTGTGGTCTGATCAGACATACCTGGTGCCTTGTTTGGGGAGATTACCTCATCATGTACAGTCACTTCGTTTTCAACAGGAATAAAGGGCTGACCAGGATGCGAATGTGAAGGAGACAACGAGAAGATTGGACGGGAGGATTGTCGGTCAGCTCTTCCTTTGAATGACTTGTTAGCTGAGACAGTAATAGCAAGGTCTGGCTGTTGCCGTGTAGGGGATGTCTGTAGCTGTGGAGACTTGGGAGGTGATGGCGACCCAGCAGGTGGTAGAGAATTCGATAACTGGCTCTCCAACACAGAAGTCAATGGACGAGTGTGGTTTATCGAAACCTCAGACCTAAAATTTTTAGAATACCAATTATTCATGATTTAGTTTATCGCGAACTGTAAGGCAGAGCTGATTATGTAGAAGTAGTTTTTTCATAACGACATCAATGCGAGAATTATTGAGGCACTTAAAATTGTATACATCTTTATAATTCAAACTAGAAAATGTCTGTAAGAAACTAATGGCTCTGCAGCCAAGGTGATGGTTGTCACTTATTGACAGGACTGACTTTCATTTATAATTTCATTAGAATTTCATTAATAACCCTGTCCTCTGTCCTGAAAATCACATATCAACAACATGTAAACGTAAATGCTCTATGTGATCTGATAGGTAGCTACATCAATAAACGGTCTTTATTCCAAACAACTGAAAACAAATACTTCACTGTGACGTTTATATTTATTTCAATAATATTACCTCGAACCCTCTAGCTAACTAGTCTAACGTTCAGAGTAGTCCTTTGTAGAGCGGTATTTTGAGGATTAGTATACATGGAAAAAGAAAACGAAAATATCTCAAATGAAAAGAAATTCCTCCAGTAATACTTCGATAGTGCAAGCTTGTATAAAATGTAGATGAGGTAGTTCTGTAAGTTTCGTTGCCACCACCTCAACATTTTACGCCGAAAAAGACAGGGGTTGTGGTTTTGTTTGTTTCCATAGTAACAAAATATCATAAGGCACTACCAGAAAGCTAGCTTGGTAGATGCACAGTGTTTCAGGTACTTATTTGGAACGGTTTTGCAGTCATTCTCCATACCAATGAACTGGTAAACAAAGGACACTACTAGAGTAAAACTCTATAAGGTTTAGAGTAGCTATCTTAAACAGTTTAAGAGCTAAGGTCTGGTGAATGTCCACGCATAGAGGCACGGAGACACGGACGGGCCTATTTCATTATCCTCGCAAACGTGTTTCGCGGAAGACAAGAAGTAGATATGTTTGCAATTATGTTGATCTCGTCAAGTGATTTCATTGGTTGAGTTTTAGAAGAAAGCATTCAGTTCGAGTACAGGTATAGGTAAGGAATGTGACATTATGACGTGATGATAACAATGACGACAAAGTTTTGACAATTTAGAATTTGTTCAGACGTGATATCACTCACTTCAACTGATCC